CGATTCAGAGGATTCGATTCGAAACCACGTCACCGGTTGCCTTAGAGGTAAGGTTAACCGAGCCTGCTGTTGTTGAGGAAGAAGATTGATCGTTCGAAAACGGGTCGACAATGGGATTTCTGGGCCGTCGGTAGTAAGAGCAATGTCAGTTCACTGCAGGGTATGGAGGAAACTTGCACTGCTGAGTCTACTGAAAGCCGGTGACGTCTTCTTGTGTTCAAATTCTTCCAACTTGGCCGTCGGCGGTCGAGAATAGAAAACCCGCCCGATCTCGTAGGATTTCAATTGGGATGGCTTTCTAATCTGAACCGGGGAAGGCCGCTTTGATAGTCGCTTGATAGGAGAGGTGCGCTTGATAGGAGATACCAGAGGAGGTGTCGATCCTGTCAATCGGAGGGCTTGAATGAGAGATAAAGAGAGGAAAAGGGATGGGTGTTTTCCGTGATGACGTTGAGTGGATTCCTATAGTAAAACAGTACTCTTCAACGAAATAACAGATAACAAGCTTCCTGAGGTCCTTTCGCTTCGTTTCAATGCTTCCAATGGTGCTAATAGGTAGTGTAATGGTATAGGTATGACCGATTGGTTGTGTTGCTATTAGTGTTGTTGTTCTTGTAGTGACAGATCCAGAGGGGAAGCGCTTCGGTTTTCGGCTTCCCTTGAAAAAGTGTTGGAGGCTTTTCCTTGAAGAATACGGTGCCACGTACCATTACATCAAAGGTAACTCCAACGTTCTTGCGGATGCCTTCTCGCGACTGCCGCGTATGGATCCACCTTTGGAGGGGAAGTCGTCGCCTATTGACGTCGACAGTTTGTGGGCTGATATCGATTTCGCGGAATGTTTCATCAACTTTCCATCTGACATGCCACATGTTCCTATTGAGTTATCTTGGATCCAACAGCAACAGTTCGAGGACATCCGTTTACAGCAGCATCACACGACAAAACCACACCAGTTTCCCATTCGCTACATCGACAACATCCCTCTAATTTGCTTTCGGTCCAATCCTACAGAACCTGATCACGAATGGAAAATCTGTTTGCCGTCTGAGATACTTCGTGATACAGTACGATGGTTCCATCTCATCCTAGGACATCGCGGCAAAAGTCAAACATACGATACTATCCGGCGAATGTACTATCATCCACATCTACGAAGAACGGTGGAACAAATGGAATGTGATGTATGTCAACGAACTAAGCTACAAGGAGCGCAATATGGCGAGTTACCACCTCGAGAAGCAAACATCATGCCGTGGGAAGAAGTGCATGTTGATCTTATCGGTCCCTGGAAGATTCCAGTCGCGAACAAAATGGTAGAGTTCAACGCGTTGACTTGTATTGATCCTGTGACTAACTTAGTTGAACTCATTCGCGTTAACAGTAAGACAGCCGCTCACGTTCAACAACAGTTCCAGAATGTGTGGTTGGCTCGTTATCCATGGCCGAAGAAGTGTGTGCACGACAACGGAGGAGAGTTTGTCGGGTTCGAGTTCCAACGAACACTGCGTCGCGCACACATCAAGGATAGTCCGACTACGTCACGCAATCCACAATCCAATGCCATCTGCGAACGAATGCATCAAACAGTTGGCAACATCCTACGAACGCTACTACATGGAAATCCTATCAATCAACTCGAACGTGCAGAAGAAATCGTCGACAATGCTCTCGCTACTGCCATGCATGCTACGCGAACGGCAGCTTCGCGATCACTCAACTACAATACTCCGGGATCCTTAGCATTTCGACGAGACATGTTCCTGAACATCCCATTCATTGCCGATCTCGATGCTCTTCGAAGCAGACGACAACTCATTATTGACGAAAATCTAAGACGACAAAACGCAAAAAGACATCACTATGATTATCAAGTTGGGGACTCCGTTCTCGTTCGCGAACACAACCCCAACAAACTACAAGAACGAAGTCATGGCCCGTACACCATACAACGTGTTCACGCCAATGGCACTCTCACCGTGCAGAGAGCTCCCTTCATCACTGAGAGGCTCAATCTTCGCCGTGTTTTTCCTTATCGCGTACAAGCTTAAGGTTTTTTGTTCACGTGCGATTCCAGGTCGCACTGTCGTTCGACCTTGGAGGGGAAGGATGCAGTAACTCGCCCCGCTTGATCCATGCTTGCCCGCGCTGGGTCGCCAAATTTGTAAAACGATAAAATAGAATCTCACAATATCCAAGGATAGAGCAGTACCAATGTCCGTCATAATGGCCCAACTGATTCGGCTTTTTTTCAGCGTTCGTCTCCTGTTTCCTCAGTTTGCTCGCTACTTGGATCCTTATGACGAATAGAATACATGAATATTGTCAATCCAGCCATTGTAGCCAGTTACCGTAGAGTTACATCGATCCGTGACAGTACCGAACACACACTCAGGTTCCGCTTTACTGGCTACACTCCGTTACCGGTACCTTGCTTTGGATCCTTATGACGAACACATGCACAACCGAACATTGTCAATCCAGCCATCGTAGCCAGCTATCGTAGAGTTCATCGATCGGTGACAGTGGCAACAGTACCGAACACACGCAGGTTCGACTTTGCTCGCTGCACTCGGTTACCTCACATTGGATCCTTATGACGAATACACGCACAACGGAATATTGTCAATCCAGCCATTGTAGCCAGCTGTCGTACTATAGCTAGTGGCAACAGTACTTGATTTGCGCATACAGGAAAATGGGTACCGACACAGGAATCACCACCAAAACAGTAGGAAATAACAAGAAGGGATGAATCCGGTAGGAGGATCCACTCTCTTGTGTGTTGTCGAGTAGCTAGCCTTGCTCCTGTTCCCTTTCAATGAGTCGACGACGATCCGTTCATGCTGTTGGTAGGGCTGGAGTTAACAATTTCCTCCGTACACATACCTCCGTAGCGGTAGCCTCTTCTTCCTCATGTTATTCGGAGCGATCAATCATTCGTTGGACCGCGACAATGGTAATTCATCGGCCGTCAGCAGTACAGCAGAGAAAACAACAAATAGATATGAGTTTTGTTTTCTGTGCTCAACTGCAGACGACCGGAGACTTACCATTGTTTTTCAAATTGCACGAAAGGACTCGACAATGGGATTTCCTCGGCCGTCGGCAGTAAGAGAAGAGAAAGTAAGAAATAGATATGGTTTTCTCTTCTCTTCTGACACTGAAGAAAACTGGCGACTTACCCTTGTTCTCCAACTTGGCCAGCATGGGCCGAGAACTGACTGCCATCCCATGGTCCATAGGATTCAATGAGGGATGGCTTTCGAATCTGCACCAGAGACAGCCGGCTTGGCTTGGATGTGCGACCGATCTGTTGTGCTGATTCTGTGAAATTCCTAATTCTGCAGAATCAATCCAGGCTTTTTCCAATCCAGGCTGTTCTTTCAATGACCATGCTAATATTCCCCAACTCCCTGTACTGGTACTGGTGCTGGTGCATGGTAGCTAGCTAGCCAACCAGACACTACAGAGTTGGCTTGTTGCAAGTTTGGTGGTGTCACGGTGTCGTCAGTTTTGGCTGGGAGGGTAACAGGTTACCAGTCGTGGTAGTTGCTTTGCTGGGCCTCTCTTGAGGCCACCTCTAGGTAGCTAGCTGGCTAGCTAGCTACCTAGCTAGCAAGCATTACCTAGTAGTAATCAAATCATCTTTCTTAGCCAGTGATAGCTAGCTAGCCCGAGCCAGCAGTTGGTTCTCCCAGAGCTCCTTGCCCTCAGATCCATTCCCAGTTCCATTACAAGTATTATGCTGAGATGCAAGCTACCAATCAACCTTAACGTTCAGCGACGTCTCTGTGGTTTCTACTCCATTCCAAATGATCTGCGGAGGCCCCAGCTAGTTATCACTAGCTAGCTACCAATCAACTCTCCCAGCTAGTGACAGCCATAACAGTTCTCCCCAGATGTATGCAGCAGCATCAACAAAGCAAAGCAACTGAATAGAAATAGTGGAGCCACAACATGGGTGGGGGATTTTAATAGCCTATGACCCGTATTTCTGCAGAAAAAGGGGTAATTCTGCAGAAAAATATAATTCTGCAGAATTGCATAAGAGAAAACTTAAAATTCTGCAGAATATTTCTTTCTGCAGATATTTTCCCTGAATTCTGCAGAATTTTGGGATTCTGCAGAATTGTTATAACAGATCGATTCGATTCGAATAATTAAAACAACTCACCTGTTGACGGCCGAGCTCGGAATTCTCTCCTGTTTACCATAGGAATTGAACGAGGGAGAGAAGTCGGTGCTGTACCTTCAATTAACACTCTTTATAATAGGCTTACCTCATTGCGATCCATTCGATTGATCGTTCCAACACCATTCTTGTCGGCCGAGCTTGGATTTCTCTCCTGTTTGCCATATCAATTCAATGAGGGAGAGAAGTCAGTGCTGCACCTTCAACAATGGACTTGACAATTGGCTTACCTCGTCCTTTAGAAAACAGTAGGTACCGGTACATGTGCAGGCAATCAGTTTATCCTTAACCTTATTAATAGTAACTTCAATGAATCTTTTATCCACGAATGGATCTAAATCTTTCGAAAGGGAACTTGTTACTTAACGATACACATGACCGTTGATTCTGCAACTGAAGTGCGGGTACACTAATTGACACAGTAAACGCGAGCCAATCGATTTCAGAGTGCAACTGAGGGGGTAACCTAAAGGAGCGTCGTCTCAGGAGACGTAATATCTTGAAAACCTTGTCCTTATCGCGTAATGCTGCGCCCCAGAAAGTGAGTCTGGCACGTTACGGTCTGGCACCAAACACTTTTAAATTTTGACCCAACCCCAGCGTACTGTACCGTGACATTTGCGCGCCAAATGAGTGCATTGGAGGTCCGGCAGGCTCAAATGGTTCTGCCTGCGGCGGAAAGACAGGAAAAAGCGTCACAGCTCTCATCATTTTATGTAGAAGGGGTTTAGAGTAGGGAAATTATAATTTGTGAAGACATCCACAACAAAAGCACCACAACAGCGCTATTATCAGTCAGTCAAAGATGAGCAACCAGGAAAGCAGCAACGGGCGTGTATACACTGAAGAAGAGTTGTCAGCGGAATTGAACAAAATGATCACGAAAGTTTTCACCGAGAACCAGCTTCCCAGCTACTCCAGCATGCCGAAAGTGGTGCAAGATCACCTGGCGGAAGACTTGTTTGAGTTGAAGGAAGAAGTGTTGGAGTACGTGATGAGAATGTCGGAGTTTGGTACCATTCGTCCCGAAGATATCCAGCGGATGTTTCGGGTGCTCGGGAACAAGAGGAGGAACAAGAGGGTCTACAAGAGGAAGAGCAAGAGGAACTAAGAAGCACAATGCTATGGTATGGTATTCACTGTTTGTTTGTGGATTTGGAAAACAAGTCACCGTTGAAGGGAGCATCATAGCTAGATAGTAACACACCTACTAGTACTAGTGTATGGAAACATCTTGTACATAGACTTAGTCTGCTCTGGTTATTGTGGATGCCAAGTGATTGGTGTACCAGCCTTTTTGGATGTAGCGAAGTAGCCTCCGGTAGAAGCCACAATGGCGGAGCCATGAAATACACCTACGACTGGTCAGTCACCTCGTCCGGTACAGTTGTTTGCGTGAGGAATGGCATTAGCTCCGCAACCTTTGAAAAAAATACCGCTGTGGTGCCGTAATTCCTCCTCCACGAGTGCTGCCAAGCTGCTACGACTGTACCGGTACAAGCATGGGGACATGCACAAATACCTAGCTAGTGAATAGCAACGTCGCTAATAGGAAAGGCAATGGATAGCTTGGAGCCAAAGCCGTGGGACAAAAGAACCAATATTATTTCCAATGTGACAAACCATTAGTTTCCCCTAATTTTTATACATCATTCTCATGGGAAGAGGTGCTTCTGTGGGAGCCTCAGTAGTATCAGAGCCATGAAAAGAAGGTTGAAGAGGAGAGATCCATGCATGTAGCACGGCTTGCACGAGTGGAATTCAATTCTTCCTATCTTCTGCATGTAAATGACTTCTTCAGTGGTGTGGGCCTTTGCAGAAGTACGCCTGAGGGAGATGCATGCTACTCCAGTATCGCCCAATCGTTCCTCCTCGGCCCTTGGTCATTCTTTGCTGGTCCATGTTTTGTCATGATTGCTTTCTTGCTTTCATTCGGTGAGTCATCAGAATGAATCGTTCTACTTGGTCCTGTTGCTTTCATTTCGTTCATTGCTTTGGTCAAGAGTGTTCCTCTGGTTGCTTCCATTGAAAGGCAGAATCCACGTCATGCTGGAGTTCAAAGCTGCAAGATACCTACCCAAACCTATGCTTCGGTCGACTCGTCGTTCCATTCTCTGGTCGACTCGACTCTTTACTCCATGCTTCTGTCGCTCAATGTTTCGGTTGCTTCGGTTGACTGGACTCATCCTTTCGTGACAGATTTTCTTTTGTAGAAGAAATACAAGAATGGCCAGTACAGTACAGCAGGCACAAATGGATTCTTTCTCTGTGCTTCTTGGTCACAGCAGAGTGGAGTGGCGGTGTATGTACAAGTAGTGATAGCTGGCTTGGAGCACGAGAGCTCCAACAGCTCCAGTCAGTTTGCCTTGGTGAGGATTGTCGGAAAAACCAGAAAGCACTAATTCAGCCTTGGCTCTCTCTGGCTACAGTAGTGGGGACCTGTTGCTCCAAACTCAAGCCATTTGATCCCGTCGGCCGTGCATCGGTCTACTGTCAGTTGCTTCAAGAAAGATACGGCCAGTAAAAGATACGGTGCCCATGCTACGGTTCATTCGTCATTCCGTGCTTTGGTCGACTCGCCGATGTTCCATGCTTCGGGCCGACTGTTACTTGCTGTTTACTGCCGCTCATTCCTTGATGTTGCGATCGAATCGTTGTGAGCCGCAGCGCTCCGTCTCTCAGCAGGAGCGTCCTCGATGAACTACAGTAGGATTGTGTCGGAAGGCACAACAGCATGGCGCGGCGTTGTGGTACCGGTAGTAGTGAAAGAAGACACTAATTCATCCGTGGCCCTCTCTGGCTGGAGATGGTCCTTGCTGCTCCAGTCTTCAGTGTCAGCTGTTGCTAGTAGTAGTACTCGTACCGGTACAGTAGAGAAGAGATCCCTGGCTTGGTTGCCTTGGCAGAACCTTGCTTGTTCGTGGCGCACAAGACCATAGCTGAGATAGATGGCAAAAGTGGAGCCAAGTTCCACTCAATCTCAATTCAGCTTTGGACTCTCTCTGGTTGTACATGCCTTCTGCTGCTCCCGTCTTCAGCTTCACAGATAGATGTACATGTATCCTGTGATCTGTGGTACGGGTACCGGTACCGATAGAGGTTAAACAAGCACCACTGTCATTTCATCGTTTTTACGGCCCCGGATGACTGTATTGTCCGTCTTGAAAACCTTGTCCTTATCGAGCAGTTTCTGCGCCCAAAAGTAGTGTAAGTTCGGCACGCTCAACGGTTTTGTTCTGTCGAGTGTGCCCGACCAGAATTTGAAACCTGTGGTTATGGTGTCATTGGCGCAAAAGCATCGGAGGGCCGGCACACGAGGTTCAAACAGCCCGCGAAAATGCCCGCAGATTTCGGGTTGCACAGAATAGAATGAAATCTGCTCATAATTTGTGTTTGCCAACAACTTGAAAGCCAACAACGAAAAGGATCGATCCACCCAACACCTACAACTACTATCAGTCAAAGATGAGCAACCAGGAAACCATCAACGGACGTCCTCGTCGGTACCGTTTTGAGACTGAAGAAGAGCTGTCGGAGGAATTGAACGCCATGATCACGCAAGTTTTCGCTGAGAAAAGCAAGCTTCCCGCCTACAAACGCATGCCGAAAGCGGCGCAAGATAGCCTCGCGGAAGCCTTGTTTGCGTACAAGGAAGATGTGTTGGATTACTTGATGGGACTGTCGGATTTTGGCACCATTCGCCCGGAAGATGTCCAGCGAATGTTTCAGGTGCTCGGGAACAAGTGGCGGAACAAGAGGGTCTACAAGAGGAAGAGCAAGAGGAACTAAGAAGCACAATGCTATGGTATGGTATTCACTGTTTGTTTGTGGATTTGGAAAACAAGTCACTGTTGAAGGGAGCATCTTACATGTAGCTAGCTAGTAACAAACCTACTACTAGTACTAGTTTATGGAAACATCTTTTGCCATAGATTTAGTCTGCTTCTCTGGTTATTGTGGCCGGCTGCCAGCCTATTTGCATGCAGCGAAGTAGCGTCTGGTACATGTAGAAACCACAAGCCGTAAATAGTGTGATCAAGTTACTAGTACGGTTTGCTCATCGAGGATAGTACACCTACCATCCAGCCTACGATGTCCAGCAAAATGCACGCAAACCCACTGGTGGCTAGATACCGGTACAGTACACTGTACCGGAAGTGCTGCTTGTTTTCTTTTGGCTGTGCCTGGGTTCTACAAACATGTCAAAGAAGGACGTCTGGCTGAACCGGTTCCGGAGGTAGGCAATGTGATTCAATGGGTGAAACAGCCACGGAGAGATCCAAGAAGGGTGGAAACATATTGCTGCGAGATCCGCTCTCCCATGGCATGCATGACGGGGTTTGTGGCAAGAGCTATCAAACGGAGTGGCCTCTTGGCCAAGGTGGTCTAGTAGCGGCTCCAGAACAATCAGCTCCACTACTGCTAGCTAGTAAAATCGTATGGCATCCGGCCACTGGGACCATACGGACGCCTCTTCCATCCCGATACTTTTGCAGTACCATACGGAGCCAACTGCACTGATGGGGTCCGATACGTAAGTGACGGACATGTAAATAGAATAAATATCTAAACGTAGGGGATTGCCAGGTGTGGTACCGGTAAATACCGGTACGGTGCCGGTGGTAGCTCGCTTACTGTACCTCACTCTCAAGATAAGTGGGGGTAATTAAGATACCAGGTAAAAAGGCGCCGGGCAGCCCAGATTCAAATGGGGTTTCGTCAGTCCGGCGCGCAAATCGATGCAGCAGAGCGCGAACTCATCACAGCAGCCGCACCGAAGCCACTCCAAGCTACCAGGTACTAGGTATTCGGGTTGACACGTTGCAACCATAAAATCCTCACTTGGTGTTTGTTCAAAGCAACGAAGAGGAATCTACTAGCTAGCTTGTACAGATACAACTACTATCAGTCAAAGATGAGCAGCTCCGAAGAGAAGAACAACGCGACCGCCCCGGATGAGCGTGTGGATGCACCAAGTGACGAGTCGACGGGTGACAAGCGTGATGCTTCCGATGATGTGAGTGATGAAGCTGCTTCGCCCAAGCGCCGTCGCACTACTACTGAAGACGCCAATGACGAGGAGGAAGAAGTGCAGGACGCCAATGACGAGGAGGAAGACGCTAATGACGACGAGGAAGAAGAAGCGCAGGAAGAAGTACAGGAAGAAGCGCAGGGAGAAGACCTCTGTCAGCAAATGGGACTCTTGGATGGATCTCGTCTCGAAGTGGAATGGCAATTGGTCAACGACGATGACAGCATGACGACCCGATGGTGGGGCTGCAAACTCTTGCCTCACGATGGACGCGTGGAAGATGGGGTGGCGGTCCGTGTGTTGGAGTATGATGCTTTGGAGCCTCACTATCCGGAGCCCTCCCGAGAAGATGTCCTCTTTCTGAGCAGCGAAATCCTTATTTCTCCCGAAAGCCAAGCCGAGTTCAAGTACCGTGTCAAGGATGTTGTTGTCGGACTCACTAATGACCAGACACGAGAATTCGTCACCAACATTTTGATGCAAGCTTTCAACCGACAGCAAGCCAGTTTCCCCCAAATGGATCGAGCGACGCAAGGTGCTCTCGCGGAAAGCTTTTGCCGGAAAAAGGAAGCATTGTTGGACGCCCTCGCTGCGCATAACAATGGTCCTATTATTACTGCCGATCGCATTCGCGAAATTATGCGTCGTCAAAACTAAAAAGCAATGGTGGGGTATGGTATAGTACTCATGACGATTTGTTTGTGGTGTGGGAAAACAAGTCACTGTTTGCTTTGCTTGTCGATTTATTTGGAATATAGTCACCGTTGAAGGGAGCAGCGTAGCTAGCTAGTAACACAACCTACTAGTACTAGTTTATGGAAACATTTTTTGCAATAGATCTCTAGTCTGCCCTGGTTGTCATGCCAAGTCAGAGCCTAATTGAAGCATCGTAGTTTCTGGCAGTTTGTTGGATGAATCAAATCTGTCGTGTCTGGCACACAGCAGACAATCCAAACAAATATTTTAGCAGTCCCTCTTTTTGAAGACGTACTGGTAGCACTCTCGTTTTCCGGCCTACAAGGACAGCACAAGAGATAACGCTTCAGAAATAAATGAGTCTACGTATTCTATGTATTCTAAGTTTTGATGATTGTGCCATAGTTGGGATACTGGGTCAGGGGGGAATGGTCCGGTAGCTTTGGACGCTTCGGGTCTCCTCCGGTTGACATGGAAGCAATGGATGCCTCCTTCAAGACGGTGCGGTTCGAGGGCGCCACAACCTTGGATGTGTTCGAGTCGTAGCTGCAGTCGTGCCGGCACTGCAATGGCTGGGTATTTGTTGGTGTTGGTGGAGATGCCGCGAGGGTAGGACGAGCGCCACAGTCTTTTGAATGCTGTGGAGCCACTTGCAAATTTGGCCGTGGTACAAGGTGCCTCGAGCAAATGTCATGCAGGGTAGTTCGCAGAATAGGTTTGGAGTGATATTCGTCTGCTCCCAAACCGATTGTGCGATTGCGTTCATCCGAAAGCACGTTGGCTGAAAGGGCTACAATGGGTAGATCCATGTTTTTTTGCCTAATGGTCGAGATTGCAGTGTTGCCGTCCATGATGGGCATGCTAATGTCCATGAAGACCAGAGAGTACCTTGGGCGCGATACATCGTTGCGATTTGGCTCGTAGTTCCGACTGTCCAACAGGGCATCCACCGCCTCTTGCCCATTCGTAGCGACTCGGTGTTCTATCTTGTACGTTGACAGCATCTTTCCCAGTATCTTGCGATTCACAGAGTTGTCATCGACCACCAAGACGACGTTGTCGTTGGAAGGAAGCTGAAAGCTAGGCAGCTTGCATGTCTTGGGAATCTGTAGCATTGGCGGTGACGTTGGGCAATGGTCACTTATGCTGCCCACGGTCCTCCAAGAGTGATCGTTGAGTGGAACCAATGGGGCTGGAGGGAGGGGTGGAAGTGGTAACGGTGTGGCTAGGGCAAGAAGCGGCCCAGATGCATGTAGAGAGGTCTGCTCTGTGTGGTCGGAGACTTCCTGGTGCAGCCCGGAAAAGTCAACACACGACGGAAGCCTCTGACACTTCAAGAATTGCTTGGGTACTTGTGTCTGATCGGATGGCAGACACTCTCCAACGTAGTCGAGTTTTTTCTTTCTTTGGTGCTTCTTGTCGCCGGTAGCGCGGAAGGATTCGCCCATCATCATCCGCTCCGTGGACTCGTCCTCGTGGCTGGATTCATCACTGTGACACTCAGTGTTCCCTGGTAGCCCCACGGGAAGTCTCAGGTGGAACTTTGCACCCTTTCCTGGTTTGCTGGTGACTGATATGCTTCCACCCATGGTCTTCGTGAGGCTCGAAATGATGGAAAGCCCCAATCCTGTTCCGCCATGAATGCGGAAGTCTGAAAGTTTCGCTTGGGTGTAGGGTTCAAATATATCTTCCAGTCTTTCATGAGAAATGCCACAACCAGTATCTTCGACGATGACTGACAGGACTACAGTGCGCTTGTCTGTGTCCTCACAGTCACATGGTGTTGCATCGGCCTCATCGCTCCCGTCACTACCCCCAAGCAATGCCATGGAGAAGAGAGGCTTCTCCTCCGAGCCTGTGCCATCCAGTTTGCTTCCCTGTTGACTAGGGGTTTTTCTGTGGCATACACCGCCGCGTTTGCTGGCAAACATGGAAACTGGCCGGTTGGCGGACATGGTCACGGTGTGTTCCGTATCTTGCTCTTCCTCCTCTTCAGATTCGACAATCCCCCGAGCCAGCACCTTGAGGGATATGGTTCCTTCGGATGTGAACTTGCAACTGTTCGACAGGAGATTATAGATGATCTGCAGGATACGCACAGAGTCTCCCTTGATCATTCGGGGGACCGAAGGAGACATGGAGCATACCAATGCCACAGTTCCCTGATGCTTCCTTTGGACCTGACGTGACATGCTATCCCCCAGTCTTTTGATCATGGAGTGCAAATCAAACGCCCGACTTTCCACCTCCAGCTTTCCACTATCAAGCTTTGACAGATCCAAGACATCGTTGACCAACCGCAGCATGAGCAGGCTGGAGTCTGAGATGCTAGAAACCTCTTCTTCTTGCTCTGCCGACATGGGAGTGTCCTGCAAGCATTCGGCTGAGGATGTAATGGCAAATAGAGGATTCCTGATTGGTGTGTTCCAAGAAGCAATTTTGAGTCCGTGCAATCCGATTTCATTCTGTCATCCTGACACATGGTACATACCTGATTTCATGGCAGAGAAACGCCATAAATGTGAACAGCTTCGCTTTGGACTCGGTAGAATCTTGTGTCAACTTGGACACTGTCTGGTCGACCAGAGTGAACATGTCTGGTATGACAGGAACCAGACAAACGGCTGTAATAGCAGACACGACAGCATTGCCGTATTGAATAGCAGCATACAGAAACGTTTGGGCTTGTCCAAGGCCCAGCAACAGTTGGTTGCAACCGGAGAGGAAAGTGTAAAAGGCAAAGAGAATCAAGCACCACGTGAGCCGCCATGGGATGTTGCGCCTGTGCGGATATCGGTGCAGCGATGTCATGAATTGCAATGAGATCACCACATTGGCAACCGCCACCAGAAGGTGTGAGATTGCAAGTAGGTCAAGAGCCATGGTTGGTCCGAAGTCCATTGCCGTCGAAAGTTGGTTTCTGTGTAATACTGAAACACCACAACCGTACTCAGAATAATGGGCTACAGCTATTGTGGCTAGCTAGCGGTTGGCTAGAAAGCTCTCGGAGTGGCTGAAAACTGGATCAAGGTGCGAGAGTAGTACGCTAGTACGCTAGTACGATGTACTTCAGCAAAGCTAGCTTCCCGTGGCTTCCTTGAAGATACTGTTGGCGACCCAGAGCATAGAAAGGAACCGGTCTATTAAATCTCATTTCCATTCCACCTTGAAGTTACTTCAAATTCAGAACTCAATAGACCGTCAGCGTGGTCAGTAGAACAATCAAAGAAAGATTATTATTAATACTCTGAGCAGACTGTAGAAGACCCATCGAATCTGGTGAGACAGTTACGGTCAGAAAGTAAGTGTTATATCTCTACCTTTAATGGTGGGAGGAACAATCTACAGCGTCAACTCTCGTTCTATCAATGCAAACTCTAACTTCAACAACAGCTCAGATGCCTTTGATGAACCTTCAACCTTCAACCAACATTCATTAGCACCTGCCTCATTCATAAGAATGCTCCAATTTGTATTCTTTTCCTGACTTTCTAATTTAAAATAGAAGTCTCTACCTTAGTCCTACTGTACGAGCTGTATTACGGTAGACTTGTGAGAAGCCCTACTCGAAGCTACAGTTGTGTTGGCTACCCAGTAATCAGTTTCTTTCTTACTGGGCCACTATTGATGAATTTCTCATTCATTCGGTCAACAATTCATATATTTGTTTGCTATTCTTACATGTACTCTTTGGGGGTTTAGTTTTGTTGTTGTCACGCTACCCAAATCTCAGGATCTGGAGGAGATTCTGGACCTTTTCACAAGCAGGGCTCTCACAGGGGGCAGGAACAGGGGGAGCAGGAACGCAATTCTCAATTTCTCATGGTGGAGGTTCTTATGTCCAGGTTCGGAGTGAACCCCAGCATGCGCTGTTGTGGCTGAGTACAGTGTAAGTACCAGGTACCAGCTACATGTACTAGTCTATTAATAGTAGTTTGGTTATTACACACAATGTCATGTTCGACCAGGCTGTGTGGCACGGAAAGTCGAGTAAGTGTTGTTATGACATTGTTGTTATTGTTGCTTCAGCGCTTCTGCAAATAGCTCGAACCAGCTAGCTAGAGAGTGGCAGCTCTACATGTAGTAGCTATCGCTTAGCAGTTGAGTGGCTAGTAGCTAGCTAGCTAGCCAAGCTCTAGAATCTACTAGTAGAGCTAGCTAGCCTAGCTAGCAATGCTTGCTACTTTCTACTTTCTACAGTGGCCAGAGACTTACCGGTAAATAATGAGAAGGTTGAAGCGGAAGCTCACCAATAATGGAGAAGAGAAGACAAAATAAATTAAATTCTCAGCGGTCGGAAGCTTGAAGCGCTAGACTTTGTAGGCCTTACCGCTTTGTTGCCGGAGAACAATGGAGTGACAGTCTGTTGCTCGAGTAATCTTCCTTGCTTCAATACCCGCACGAACAAGCTCGTGGCTGCCAGTTGCAAGGTATTTTGTTATTATTTTGTTGAAGGAAACCGCTTGGGCTGCTACGCTACCAAATACCAAAGGCCACAGGGAGGATGTGGAGGCCAAGAAATATATTGACTCTTCAATGGAACTGCCGGTTGCCATGAGAAGAAGCAACTCTAAAGCCAGGGTGGCGATTGGCAGATTCAAAGCCGCCAAAGGGGAAGATGCAGGGCGAGGTCGTCGACAGTGATTGAATGGTCAGTTGTCAGTTGTCAGTTCACGCTACCTACCTTACTTCAAACCAAGCAGATTTCTGCATGCAGGTTGTCAAGAGAAGTATCAATCACAACGAGGCACAACTTCCGATTCCGTGCTATCAAGTGAAGAGGTTGTTGCGCGCCCACTTCTTGACGAAACCGTTGGTTGGCGACGTTCACAGGTACTGTCGTCCTTGTGTCGAGCGAGAACAGGCCACCCTCCAGGCGAGGCGAGGCGAGTCATCGCTCCAGTTGTGTCAACGGAGGAAACAGAATCAGTCCTTCATCAAATCCCAAAACCAACCTTGTTGTTGTTCAGAAAAGCAAGAACTCACTACATTGCTGACCACGGTGAGGTTCGTCAGCAACTGAACATATTGCTTGTCCAAAATTAGAATAATTGAGCGGCTTGGGCCGCCTCCAAATCATCCATAGCAAGAACGCCTAGACATTTAAGATTAAGGAATTTTGTATCCTCACTCCAACGATTGCTTGCTCCCCTCAGCTGCCTCTTTGCTCGCTGTATCTCCTCCAAGCGAACAGATTTCTCCGTAGGTTGAGAAGGCCTTTGTCCGGTACTGATGGACCAACCATTTATTTGTCACCCATTTGATGTCCATCATCCCTGCTGCAACATCCTTTCCGCTCCAATTTTGGTGCAGCTAATCAGAATATCTGACATGGTCGAACAGCTGGGTCGAACAATCTTCGTCCTGTGTAAACAAACTTAGTTGACAAGATGTGTGGAAAGGTCAGTGGGTTTGTTCCAGGCGCAGCTTCCCAATGTCTGAGTAAAAGTCCGCACCCGCACCTCAAGATTGCCGTTTGTTTTTCCAAAAAATTCCTCGCGCAGGCCACCCCGTCCTTCGCCAGGCAGCCGAGTGACTTGACTCAGTCGGTCAGAGAGTCGGTCGAGAGAGTCAAGTTTCGCAGTCGTTACTTTTCTGCTGCTCACCTTCTTCCTCGCATCTTGTGTTTCAAACGAACGAAGAGGAGAGTACTGACAATGATCGAATGTGTTGAAGCGGGAGTGTCTCGACGGTCCACGAATTCCATGGCCAGGTGCAGCAACAGAATTTCCAAGACTACACCACGATTCGAGCTCTCACAACCTACGATGATTGGGCATTCCTCCTTCGCCGCAACGAAGTTCATGCACCAAGAGGTTCCGAACATCATCAAGCCACGCTCTCCTGCTTTTCGACTCGACTCACGACGGCTGATCGGTGGAGCTTCGACGGTCTTCTGGTGTGTTGTGGTCGACCAGCGTGTCCTGGAAGTGGTAGTCCTGTCCAAGACGAAGAAGCTGTCAAACAGAAACGATGATGACCACGCCGCTACCGTACCAAGCCGAACGGTTGAGGCTTTGAGATTGACTCGATGTACCGCGGAATCGTACCGTTGTCCAGAAGAAGGCGATCCACTGGCTCGCAACGTCCTCCGGTGGCAGAGCAGCGGTGTGACGGTCCGTCGACGGCCTCTAGCAAAGTGCCGAGCCTTCCACCGGCGAGAGTAAATGTCCTGTTTCTGTCACGCAGACTGCTGCGGCCGCCGCAAAGAGGACTCGACGCTGGTTCCCTGTTGCGGTGGCTCCTCCTTTTCCTGTTGGTTGAATGTTCACTTTACAAGGCCACACTGGAAGTTGGGGCGACTTTGCAGAGACCCCGATTGAAGCTGACTCCTCTTTCCGAGCTAGTGCATTTCGACCTGCTTTTCTGTTCCTGTTGGAGCTCACTGTTGGTGGTTCCTGTGACATTAGTAGTTCTTTGCTCTAAGAGCCAGCATTCGTGTTGGAAGGGTTGGCGGGCACTCGAAAGGGTGTTCCTTAGCTGCTTCGCTGAACCAAAGTGGACCGCAGCAATGCCAGCCAAGTGGACCGCAAAGTCCGAGAAAAACTAGTACATGTGGACCGCAAAGTCCGAGAAAAACTAGTGCATGTGGACCGCAATGTCCGAGAAAAAATAGAAACATGTGGACCGCGATGTCCGAGAAAAACTAGGCGGAGGCGTTTACTGTTGGTTCAATTGAAGGGTCACATCAAGGGTAGCCAGGTTTGTGGTTCCTGTGCTAGGGAGGCTTCACAGCTGACTGAACGTATCCACTTTGATAGTTAATACCTGTGACACCTGAAAACCAACCTCTACCGTCGTTGATGCAATGAACTTCGAAGAGTTTCCACGTCCACGTCGTGAAGTTTGGGGAGCATCTTCCTTTTGGTTGATGCGAGCCGAGAGAAACTCAAACTCAAACCAGTACTTCAGTACAAGCGTTGAAGGCCCGGTCCTCCAGTTGGAAGTCTCTTTCGTTGGCAGTAGTATTTGCCAGCAACTCGAAAGGCAGCATCTGCACGGGTCATTTGCTGTGTTGTACTGCCAGGGAACCTTCAATAAGGTGGTCCATGGCTCTTCCAACAGTCCCAGTAGCTCATCATTACTTTCGTCCTGACTGCTGGAATAGCTAATCTAACCCCGTCAACTGCTGGTAAGCTGATCTCGCACTAGTCTTCTTTGGCCCGCCGTAGCTATAAGGTTTCCTTGGCCCTCACACCAACCTTGTCCCTGTCGGTCGGTGGTACGGTATACCAGTAGCAAGACCCTCGTCCCTCGGCTGGATGTTGGCTTCTTTGGGCAGGTTAGTCCTCGAGCCCTCCTGCTCTGGCGGCTAGTGCCTTTCTTTGAGTTCCAGTCACCCTTGGCCTACCGTACGCACGATACCAGCCCTGTGGAATGAACTTGTTGGTGATTCCTTGTTGCTGCTTGTCTGACCCCGGGAACTCTTTGGGTGGCCGGCTAGTATCTTGCTCCCTTTGGGTTGGTTCACCTCGAGGCGGCTGTTAGCAACTGACTACTACTTTCTCTTTTTGACAGACACGCGCTGACTGATGCTGAGTACGTTGTTGTGCTGCTCCCTTTCTTGGTGGGGTCAGGGTTCGGCGTTATGCTAAGATCGTTGAATCGAATCACTTCCCTTTCTTCTCACGCCCTGGCGGGATGAATTGATAAGAGTTGACGTGCATCGTAGTCTTGGACTAGCCAGCTGCCCTCAGTCGGGCACAGCCAGTCAGCAATCATTGCAGAAGGAAGTCACAAAATAATCGAGCGCACCAACTACCACCGCCTTGAGCTTCTGCGTTGGAGACCTTCCTGTGCTGGCGGTGTGGCTGCTTGGGTTAGCTAGCTAGACCTGTTGTAGCTGTTTCGCTCACTGGTGAACTCAGAGCTTTCCCTGTTTGCTTTGCCGCAGTCGTGAGCGACATTGTAATCGGTGGTCCCTGGCTATTCGCAGTATCCGATCAAGCTACCGTAGCTCTAGCTCTAGATCTAGAGCGATTGATGCATTTGAGTTGCCAGTAGTTGGTTCTTGGCGGGCGCATCCAAAGCTAACACTTACTTTATTGGCTAGCTAGTAGCTCGGTACCGTTGTACAAGAAAGCCAGCCTGTAGTAGTCTAGTACTACCACTTTTTTGGAGGCCGCGAGGGCTGGGAGGACCGATTCTACGACCACTTTCATTCTGTTATCATTCCTTGGCTTTCTCTTGGCTCTAACGGTATACTTTGGTCTTACCTGTGATCTGTGATGACTAACTCTTCATCTTCATCGGTTCTTAAAAAATACTACATGATGTACTCCAGTAGCTGCTCTGGGGTGAGCTAGAGCTGCTGGTACGGTACCTGGTACCAGTAGCCTCAACGCCTCAACGCGGGAGATCAGGTCACTGATTTGAGACCTTTGTCACTGGAGTTTGTGAGGAGCTCTTTATTAGTCATCAACCGTCCATTGTTAAATCCTTCCACTTCACTTTCAAAAAGAATGGGTGAAAAGGCAGGTTCACCTGTTCACCTGAGAATTCACTCTTAGAAGAGGGTTAAATCATTATCGTAAGATTATTGCCACGGAACATGCCAAGTCATTTGCGGTTTTGGTACCAATCCTCTTGCTTGTGCTTTGTCAGGAACTTCGTTTGCATTACGGTACCAGGTGGTAATACTAGACTACTAGTACGGTAATACTGCGTTCAAGCGTCAAGCGTTTGGAGTATTGTGCAACTGTGCAACCACCGTGCTTCTGCATGAAAGTGGTGGTAAAATAATGTTGAAATGCAGGTGCAGTAGCCTGTACAAGCAAATAAATATCCGAAGCCGTCGAACTCTCCGAGCAACCAGTCGCCGATCATCCGGTATTCCTCTTCTGGAGCAAAACCAACTTTGGCAGCTCCGAGAGCACAAAGCTAAGCAAGGAAGAGTTTCCCACAAATCAATTCACATACTTACCTACCGATACCGTACCAGAGCTAGCTAACAGATAGATATTCAGATGACCATGTTTGGAGAAAGCGGACGCAACTCAGCCCCAGCGCTCTTGCTGACGAGCAGCGAGATTTTGTTGGTCCCTTCCTCTCCCACTCCAAGTTGTTGTGATCCCAACATTCCCTCCACTTTTGATTCTCTCCTCGACGTGGGAAAACTCACACTCTCCCCCAGTCACAACAAGGTCGGTGGCGCTTGCTCCTCTCGATCATTGTTGGACAAGCGCGTACGATTTGCGACGCAACTCGAGACGGTGGCGGCATATGTGGAAACGCGGGAAGAGATTGCCCCCGATGCCGACAAGATTTGGCACAATCCCACGGAGCTTTTCGTGATGCGAGAAGGCGCCATGGAGTTTGCCAAGCACATTCGCAAACAACCGGATTCGTACTATAGTCAAAGCATGGCCCATGTCCACCAATGGGCCCAAGACACCGCACTCGAACGCCAAGAGCAAGAAGAAGGCGGTAGATTTCTAGGCAACATTTGTGCTCCTCCCGAATTCTTGAAGGAATGGGCCGTCTTGTCATCGGACCGTCGGGGACTGGAACGCAATGTCCTACAAAAACCTCTGCAACGAGCATGGGCCCGATCCGTCAAGGCCGCCACCAATGTCGTCTTGGATCTGCAAGAAGAAGAAGAAGAAGAGAAAAAGAATTCTGATCATTCCGAAGAGTCTTCCAGTAGTACAACCACCGACAGTCATGCCAGTTTGACAGGTGGCTCTACCGTTGCTGAAAGTGACAATGACAGTAGTAGCTACGAATCCATCCTGCGTCAACGCTACCAAGAAGCCTCCCGTGCAGCCGTGATTTTGGCCCTGGCCATGGGCAACATTGATGCCAAGATTGCGGCCGGATATCAGCGCCAAAAGAACACTCGTTCTCCCGTGAAACGCAGCAACAGCCGCAAGCTGAGACGAAGCCCACGGTCGTCCCCGGGATGTGTCAAGATTTCGGGCAAGACGGGTGAGATTCCCGCGTTGCCCGTTCTGTAGATTGATCATCGTGGTCATTCTAGCTAGAAAAGCTGTTCAGTCTACTACGACTCGCATGTATCTTGAACTACATCATTCACTGCATATTATGATAAACTAAAGAAACCAGAAAGAATGAGAATGCTATCGTATGGTCTTTCTCTAAGCTAGCTACTGTGTGCACTGTGGTCCGCTGAAAAATGTAGAAATCATGCCGGGGGGTCAGCTCATCTGATCAGAAAAGCTGCAGACGCTCGGGCTTATTCCGTCATCAAACACAAGCCTCTTGCTGTAGGGGGCATACTGTGCTGGCCTCCTGAAGCACTGTAGCCCTAGACTGAGCAGCCGAGTAAACTTTGGTGATCCCTAGCTAGCTAGTTTGTGGCCATGCTGTTAGAAACGAAATCCAACCTTCCAATGATGCAATCATGAACCAAAATTCTGTATCATCTCTAACTTCTTTATTCATAGTTATGTGTGTACTACACTCCAGTCTTATATTTCCAAATACGTACTGTACCATCGTCTCCACAGGACGCCAACAAGGATCCATCATGAGGATGCCAACAGACACTATTGACATCACCGTCATGCGACACAACGGAGGCATCCAAGGAAAACAAGGGTCGGTCCGATGTACTCCCTAGAGCTTCTCGGTAAATTTGGATGCGATCATCGCCTCCAGCGGTCACAATGCGTCCATGACCGGCTTTGGCGGGTGCGTAATCGCAGTCGTAAATGGGGAGTTTGTGATGGGCATCGGGCAATTTTCCGACACATTTCCAAGCATCATGAGCGTCAATAGCGCCAGCCGTGGCATCAAATTTGAGTATTCCCAGAGATCCATCGGCCGAACAGGAAATGACGCGACCACCTCCGGGAGCTACCGTAAGCGCCCAAATGGTGGATGTGTGTACATTGGCAATGGATGCGGCACAAAACCATTCTCCACAATCTTCCGCCCAGCATTTGATAGTGTCGTCGTAGGAAGCACTGAGGACAATTTCCTCGCCATCCCCGAGGATTCCATGAGATGGTGCAAATTGTACCTGTTTGACGTCTCCTTCGTGACCATTCAATACGGCAATGCATTCAATATCCGTGTCCGATGCTCCCACGGTGCCTGCTAAAAAGCACTCCCAAATCCACACGGACTTGTCGCGACTGCAAGTGGCCAGTAGACTTCCCGTGGCATTCCAAGCGACGCCCTTGACTTCATTGTCGTGTCCTTCCAATTGAGCGGCGCATTCCCAGCCATCACTGTCATTACTAGTAGTAGATTTCTCCCAAATGGAGACGGATCCATCAAAGGATGCACTGGCCAAAATCAAGGGACTCAACAACGGCGCAAAGGCAATCGATCGAATGGTTCGTTCATGAATGCCCGACACGACCGAATCCAATGTCCACTCGCCATTACCAAGCCGTCGCCATACTCGCACCACCAAATCGGGAGGTCCAAAGCACGCCGCCAAATACTGGCCGTCTTTGGAAAACGCACACTGCCATGCCGCAGATCCACTCGCATACTGCAGCTGTCCTCCAAACGATTTGTTCGGGGGGCACAGCACCTGCACACTGGTCAGTGACGCTCCTTCTGTTGTTGTTGCCATTGTTGTTATTAGCTAAGCTAGTAGTATTTGTATTGGTGGTTGGTTGTGGGTTGGATAAGCGCCTTGCCTTGGGTAATGCTCATGGGAGTGGGCAGCAGCTCTTCTTCTCGTTGGTGTTGGTGTTGGATCCAAACGAACCACAGTAGGGTTCAGGGTTTATTTTTGACAAAAGGGAAAACTGAAAAATAGGACGACCAAATCCGGAAAGAGTGAATGCCGTACGCACCGTATCCCTCTCTAGTAGCTAGCTAGCTAGCTAGTAGTAGAGAGAGGATATTACACATCATGAGATGACAGTGAGGGATTTTATCCTGCAGCCGAGGATGTCACGTGCTAGCTTTGCCTGCTTTGGCGGTACAGCTGTACGGCATACCCATGATTGCTAGGCTTGTAGCCTTTGTGCACTGTCTACTGCCAACAGAGTACTACCAGTGAAGTCAAGTCCTTTTACTACTAACTAGTTCCTTGGATTGTTAAAAAATCTTACCGGTACCAGTACGGTGAGCAAGTATATTATGGGTTCCACCAATACGTGCGTGGTTCCGAGTTCCGAGAAGCGGTATAGCGGAGACAAGAAAACTGGCTGGGGTCTAGCTAGCTTTATAGCTACTACTTGAGAGCGAATGCATACCAGGAGTACCAATAAGGAGAGCAGTAACAAAGATGGTGGTCACAGGCGCGGTCAGCACACAGCGCACACCGCAGGCTGTTCCAGGTGACTGGCTTCCGTAGCGTGGTTGCTTTATTGATCCTCCAAACCTAAACCCCCACTGGCTTCCGTAGACAGCTTCCCTACCGGCAGTGCTGCCGCCGGGGGCTGGGGACTACACGTAGCTAGCTAGCACTGGTAAGATCCTTGGGAGCTAGCCAGTCCCACAATAATGTGTGTGTGGGAGTTGCTGCCAGACCTTCTTTCAACCTGACACTGAGGAGAATTCGTATCCTGGCGACTGGGAACAACGCAGTTCGGAAGGGACTCTTGCTTGCTACTTTACTGGATAGATTCACATGATGCCAAGTCTTGTCTTGCTGGGCAGGCCATGTTTGCCTCATTCAAGATATTGTGCGTCCTCCTCAGAGCCATTTCATCCCACAAAGCAAACAACGCTCAAAAGCAACAACGTCCAATATCACATTAGCAAACCCAATCCCATCAAACCACAATGTTGCTTCGAGATCACAAATTGGATTGCCTCATTACCAAGGTTGGCGACAACAGGGATAGAACCGATGCAAAACAAGAGACTGAGAGTCGCAGCGTGTCCTTGGAGTGTGGAACGCCGGGTGCCAAGGACAGCCGCAGCGCATCAAAGGAGGACGCACCAATGAAGGAGGATGAGGAAACTCTAGAAGAAACGACCCAAGCCATGATCTCATCCTACAAGGAATGCATGATAAAACAACGAATCTTTCTGGACGAATTGGAACCTTGGCAATCAACAATCGAGCCTCGGCAACTGGAAATCCCTGTAAAGTTTCTCGATGACTTGTGAGTGGTGGATGGCTGTCCTTTGGCTGGAAGTTTGTTGGGTCATTGGCTCATTCAAGGCGTCTGAAATTTCACTCGTCAGATACATCCTATGCGAGGAACAGGGGGAGAAGCGCTAGCCGCAATTGTACTACTAAAAATTACCAGTCCCATGCTCTTTCGTCTAGTTTCTTTTACATTTATAGTAATGCGTTCTTGTCAAGTCCGCTGGCTGGTCAGTGGAAGCCATCCAACAGGTGCAGTCTGTGTCTCCCGACAGCCGTTCTATCCCTCCCTCCCAGACCAGGCGCTTGTTCGCACCCGCCGAATTGGATGCCTTCTTCGCCTCGCACACGCACACCCAGCGCTCAGCAAGAACAATACAGCTCCCTCACAAATAGATCACCCAGTTATTCGGAACGAACCGAGCCCAGGAGCACGAAACGAGGATCTGCACAATGCGCGCCAGCACTCAGGCATCGCTAGCTAGGGAGGGCAGCCGAAAGCCGCCAGAAGCCAAACAGAGACATCATCAGGCTAAGGCGGGGACATCATCAAGCTAAACCTTTACCTAGCTCACACAAACTCAAGCCACGGCCTCGTTACTGGGCGAGTTCCTCGGGTAGTTCAGGCTTGACCCGGACTCCTTCCGACAGCAATGCCTCCCTCATTTGATCGACACACCTCACAATATGGTCATCCAACACAGCATAGGTAACATGCCTCCAATCCAACCGATTCACAAAGAAAATGTTATCTTCTTCGTCCATCGCAAACCAGGTGGGAATGGGAGTTGCAGCGGCCATGGCCATGTTCGACTGCAATAACTTCCTCGTAACCTGAAACATGTCAACAGGATCGATCGGAATCTTTATGAAAATGTCCATCCAGTCGATTCCGTCCATCTCTCCGGCCTGCAAATGGACTATGCAACCATTGCCGTAATCATAATGGATCTTGCCATCGACGATCGCAGAGGGACGAACAGATGCAAAACCCTCTTGAAACTGGCCAAAATTTTCAGGAGGTTGGGTGGTACTTTCTAACACCGCGACCTGGCCTTCATCGGGCTGCTGGGCTGGCTCCTGGTCACCGATCATGATACCGGGGCTTTCTTCCGCCTCGCCTTCTTTGGGCTGTTGAATAGGCACCGATTCATCAGCTTGCGACATTGTACAAAAAGTAATCCAATTCAACGAATAGTTTATGAGTCGAGTCCAAAGTTTGCGGCGGCTGGGCTCTTTGGGTCCTGCTGAGTTTGGCTTGGAAATACGCGACTGAAAAGCACGCCTTTCCTGTCGTGCCAACAAGACGGCTGTGTCCTTTCCTCGTCCAGCGCGATTGTTGCTTGTGGTGGTGAAAGAGGCTGTCTGGGCACCAGCAGAAGTCAAGAGGCGTGGCACGACTGCCCCAGCATGGAAAAGAGCTAAGGGCCGAAACTCGTGAGGACCGTGGGGTAGCGTTTGGCGGCGAGACTGGCGCGGAATTGGAATGCTTGTTTTCCATGCCAGAAGAGCTCAAGAAGTCAGATCTGATTGAAATCAAAGGTCCAGCTCATCAAATGGTCGAAGCCCTTCCCTCTAACTACTAGTTCTGCTTCGTCCAGCGGCCGGATCCTGCCTGACAAAGCAAAGGCCCATTGCCGACAGACGACGGAGCAAGTGCTGTTTCAAGTCACTGATGCCTCGCGAGGCAGCGGTAGCGGTGCGCCTTTTAGACATCTATCCGGTATCAATACCTTTTAAGTCTAAAGTTTTCTTTTTAAAAGAAATCATCGAACCAAGATCTCATCTCACAGATGAAAGCTTTGCCTCAAACAACCACACTATTCCATCACTTTGGAAGCCAAACAAGGCAACTGCATTGCATCTTCAATTGATAATCCAAGCTAAGTTGACTCTACAGTAGTCTCTCAAGAAGGAGGCCAATCGTTGGTATCAATAGCAGCTGTCGTATAGTAGGCCCTACCGGAGAATACCTCACGAATACTATGTAACATAAGCATGCAAACTTGACTAAGGTGGGCTGTTACCGTTTCAATTTCCCCAACAGAAACCTTGGAACTCACACCAAGGTTTAGAAAGAATGAATAATTCAACTGAGTCACTCGACTCCAACAATGTGCCTCCTATTGCGCTACTGCAGTGATATCCTGGCTCAACCGATTAGTGATCCAAGTAGTAGCAGAAGCAACCACAATCCTCTGGGCAAGTGATACACTCAGTCTGACAATCTACTTCCAAAGAAGTGAGCTGGGGAAGCCCACAAATTTCTGTTGGAAGCATACCGGTGAAGTGATTGTCATGGAGGTACAATTGAGTCAGATTCTGGAGCAAGCCCAATTCAGAAGGGACCTTTCCAGTGAATCTGTTGCCAGCAACTCCAAATCGAGTCAAATGAGATAGCATTCCAACTTCGGATGGCAGCGCTCCTATGAATAGGTTGTCTCTCGCAAAGAAACCTTCCAAGGAGGACAGCGTAGCACAGTCAAATATAGGTTCAACAAAAGATGATCAAACGCATCGACCTTTTTCTTACCTTCCAAGGCTGTCAACGTTCCCACTCCGGTAGGGAGTGTGCCCGAGATCATATTCCAGTCCCAACTCAAGTAGTCCAGGCGACTCAAGAGGTCAAAGGTATTATCGGGGACGGTACCGGTCAGAATGTCCTGGAAATAGCTCAACTTGGTCAAATTGACCATGTTCTGCAATGTCCAGGGCAACACCATTTCCAAAGGAACATTCAACTGACCCATCTCGATAAATAGAAAGTTCAGGTTGGACAAAAGCTCAATTTCGGGTGGGATGGATTCGTCAAAGCCCTCACTCATCGCGTGGGAATGCTCGCCTCCTAGAAGGAGAAGTTGGTGGAAAGTGCCATCTTCGTGGCACAAATTTTTGAGCCAGTCCTCCGTGTCCATGTTGCCCCAGTAGCACTCCGAGACAGAATAATTCAACCAGTTCTGTTTGTCCGTCGCTAGCCAGTTCTCACCATTCATATTATAGTAGTATGCAACAATGGCAAACATCTGCTGGAGACGCCAGTCTTCCAAGTCTTCGAATTCTGGATGTTCAAGGACCCACTGGAAGGCTCGACCATGCAAGGTGTAGTCTGGAAGCAGTGCTCTCAAGCGCATTACTTTCTCGGTGAGGCTCTGCATGAACTCGGTTGGGCTAGTCGAAGGGCTTGGGGTACTACCCGTAGGTGAGGAGGACTCTAGGCCTGGAAGGGCAGCACCCACTTCCTCTTCAGGGAGGCCCAACAGCTCATCGCCACCACTGTTGTCAGCATTGCAAGAACCATCTCCACAGATTACGGCAACTGCTGTAGCGGCTCCCATTGCGAGGACAAGGACGACGAAGACGTACTTCAGCCAACCCCAACCTTTCTTTGTGAGGTCCACCTTCTCGGCTACCTCAATACCTCTGGTTTCTTCCTCTTCCGTGCCAACTTCAACGTCATGATCAGCAGCAGCGGGAACCTCAGTGGCTTGCAAAAGATCTTCTTCGGTGCTTGGATCCATCCTCCTTGGAGAGACGCCTGGAGGTGGGGTACCACCTGATTCAGCAAAGGCACCAGGCTGACCGATCTCTGGGATGGAGTCTTTTGTCACAGCCTCAATACTGCCATCTTCATCTTCGTCTTCGTGGTCTTCGTCATCGTTCCTGCCGGTGCCGGTGCCGGTGCTCATAGCCGCACTACGAGCAGACGGAGGGCCGCCGAACTTCTCCTGAAACGAAGCACGGCGATTCTTGGCTGAGGAGGGAGGGGACTCCACCTGAATGATGGAGTTTGACCCACGTCTGCTGCCTCTCTTAGCCTGCTTGTCTGCGTCATCTAGTTCTTGAGCAAAGCGCTTGACCTTTTGCAGGTCCCGTCCACGCTCGTCCGCACCTGTCGATTGATTGTGATTCGAAAGTGAGATCCCATCGCCAGTGGCAGTGGCAAGAGAGGTGGGCTCCATAGCTTGAGGGTCTCCTTTTTCTTCACTCTTGACTTCCATGTCCTCCTCCTCGGAAGAGATCTCCTCAGTAGAAGAAACCTCCTTGTTCGCAGAAGAAACCTCCTCGGGTGCCGCTGTAGTGGTGTCAGGGGCGTCTGGTGTACCGGTGGTCGTCATGGTGGGCGTACCTGAATTAGATTTGCTTGCTATCGAGAGAACCGATACCAATCTGATTGTGAGACGAGAGGAAAACAGATCGAATCGATTTCTGGCATGATCATGAAGCTGCGGGTACTAGCTAGCTAGCAGGGTATCGGAAAAGATTCCTACGATCCCTATAATCGGCCAGGATGTGCAATGGATTGTCTCTGCTACCGGTACCGGTACCGGTACCGGACCTCCTACAAGGCAGCAAAAGTCCAGAGAACTCAGATCTCGGTACCAGGTTCCTGCCACCAGTTTTGGAGGAGGGACGATAATTGTCCCAATATCCACGACAGATCTCCCCAATACAGAAACTGTCGTTAAAGGGCATTTATTTATCGGGAGCTCACGAACCATGACTGAACTGAGATTGCCAATTTGGAATCCTTCATGGATCAAAGCGTGAGTATGATGTGAGTATCCAGCTAGCTAGCTAGCTACTATTCGGGTTGAGAAAGTCGCAGCGAGCCACCTCTATTTCTTTTACAATGGTTATTATTTTAAATGCATGTATCCGCCCCGCCTGGTTTTCTTGCGTACGGGTAAGATACACGGCTTTCAACAAGACACAAAGGCGGGGGTGGTGTTGGTGTTGGTGTCGAAAGTGTACGAGAATTCCATTGTGAATTATTTGTGAGTGGAGCGGATGGATGGCACCGGTACCCTCATACTTTTAATTAAGTTACGGCCGGCAGGGAGCTCATAATCCTGCCCTACTGCCATAGCCACAACCTTCTTGCTGGCTAGCTAGTGGCTACTCGTACCTGGAAGCCTTACTATTGCGGTAGCTTGTAGCCATACTGACGTACTTTACGTATGCACAGCTTCGAGTGGTACCAGTACCCCCTTTGGGCCCCTGAGAGAGCCGAGAGAAAAAACGAAATTTGGGGTGGTACCTATACCTGGTACCTGGTACCGGTACCAGTCTGTTCTCTTTACCCCGAGACATTGATATCTGTAAAGGCTTTGAGCTTTAACCATGACTGCCCCCTGCTACAGTAGCTAGTAGCTAGGCACGGTACAATTAGTTCAACTGCAGCTGTACTGCCTGCCTGGTAGAGCTCTTTACCCCGAGACATGGATAGATGTAAAGACTTTGAGCTTCAACCACCCTAGCTGCTGTAGCTACGGTAGGCACGGTACAATTAGTTCAACTGCAGCTGTACTGCTTGTCGAGCAGCCGCACGCCAAAGAAGACAAACGATCCCGATCCCTATCCATCCACGCTGACCGGCGTGGAAACCTGAACCCTCATGGGTTCTTCGATGAATGACTCGACTCACAGTTGCCAGACTGGTACCATCTCACAAAATACGAATCTACTCCCACACTTCGCTCACACACAACAAGTACATCTCTACACTCCACAGGTCATCACCTGCGTTCCTGAAATGGATACCCCACATACATGTCGATTGCACTGCCTTTTCGCAAGATCCACTCTAAGGCAATAGCACCCCACGAAGACCGCTCACAGATAGCAACCTTGAATGACACACAACACGCAAGACCGGTCCAACTCTCTCCTTCAGCCATTGAACAGTCGATCGCAAGAAGGTTGTCTCCTTCTTGCTCACAATTCTTCCTTCAGCCGAGCGCAAGCTAGAACTAGAATAAATTAACCTCTTGCGTCGGCATCAGGGTCTAAATCTCTTCGAAATCCTCGACCATGGCCAACGCTTTATTCTACTCTCGTCGACCGCGCAACCACTGGGACGTTCATGAGTTTGACTACAACGCTCTTCTCAACCGTGTTGGTGCCAATGCTAACACTGACAGTCGGGCGTCGCAAGCCACACTGTGTGCTTCCGTCACTCGGTCACCCCTCCTCATCGCCTTCGTACTTGACGGTGATAAGACTACATCCACGTCGGACACTCCCTGTTCACCTACCCAGCTGACTTCGAACGTGTCTCTCCGTACGACAATCTTTCCGTTGTTACTCACTGGAAACGACCTCACACCATCGCCCCTGTGATCCTTCCGAACACAGCTTCCAGCGCGTCGCCGACCCTCGTTGCAAGACCTTGGCTATCTTGATGGCCCGGACATGTTGGGTGCCGATCCACCGAACTTCACTCGGGTCCCCATGGGACGGCGAGGCAGATGTGGACTCCTACCGGCCCGTCGCCTCATGCCCATTCCGCACTACCTGACCTCACGAGTCCTCACGCAAGTGCCTACCGGGCGATACTCTATCACCCAGTCCGAAACCTTATTAGGGGAAATAGATGTGATGCGAGACAGAAGATTATCTCTCGTCCAATGGTTCAAAGAATTTTGACTTCATTGTCTGATATTGATCCCGTAACCGGATGAGTTCGAGATGCGAGGATCTGCTCACAGTGCAGCAAGAGTAGCATGGTCCTAGACAAACGTGGCTCTCGGTATCCATGGCTGCAGGTATCATGGTAGAGGCGGAGTTCGCGAGAGGTCGAAGAGATTCGAGATGAATATGCTTCGTCGCAAGTTTCATCACTAGCGTACCTCAAGCATCTTGGTGAGCGTTGTTCATACCACTTGTCGCGTTCAATCATGCAAGACGACTGTGATGGTCTGGGTGGAGTCTACAGGCGGTTGTTTGCATGAATTGCGTTACCTTGGTGAGCCCGACGTCGTGTTCATGTTGCGCGATTACGTGGTGTTCGAGCTGGGTACTTCGGAGTCCGCGATTCAAAAAACGTGGGACGCGGCGTTGTCTTCATCATGTAAGTACGTTGATGATTCACGTATCCCGACGAGTCGGTAAGCAGTCAGGTCTTACATATGACGAGTCTGCATGGACATGTAGGTCCGATGCTCGCCATGGCCGTCTAAGACTTGACTTAGGTATTAATTACAAGGCCTGTCTTGTAGGTGCACGTGGGATGACATGTTATCCAATTTCGGAGTGCCTGCTTATCTATGTTTTGTCGGATGTGTGCCGTTTGTGGCTTGTCAGTGGGCGATGTAACACGGCTCTTAGCCTTTGCGACTCGATCTAGATAGGGTTTGAGTTCGATCATGACTGAGTCTCTCGTGAATAGTCATTTGAGACAGGGTTCCAATGACCGCTCTAGTCATACTAGGTTGATGATGAAACATCGCTCTAGATATTTAGTCAGGTGGAGTACTTCCACGCTACTAGATCATGCTAGACCTTTACGCGTTCCGTTTTGGATGTGGAGATATGTAGGATTACTACTGAACTACTCTTCACTTTATAGTCTCGCGGAGGCCAGATCTACGATCCTTGATGATGTCTCTCTCGTTGATTAGTTTTCATAGCTTTCTAATCTCTTTAATTTCATTCTCTCAAACTCAATCGAGATCTTTACACTAGCTTTTAGCGTAGTGCACTTTATTCACTGATAGGTGTCAAAATAGGGTCTCGTTTTGACCAAAATAAATTTAAGTGGTCATTTCAGATACGAATTGGTCATTTCACCAAGTCTGGCTGAATATAACTATTTGATATGAAGAAAAGATTGAAGAATTAAAATTGAATTTTGCAACAGAGGCAACAGTGTTGACCAAATGGCTATTGGTATTATTATGGTTTAATTTTTTAAAGTTGGTTTGCTTGGGTTGGCACAGTACTGTACTTCAACAGTCCCTAGTACGCTGTATTCGCTCGGAGCATGTACGGAACGTCTGGACCTTGTCTTATCTTTGGCGGCATCTATCATACAATCTACATAAAGGGCTTCTGCAATAATGGGAACCTATCTGAATGAGTGAGTTCTCATTATTCAGTATATTATTATGTCCTGAGTACAGTACACGTGTACCTGGTATCTACCTGGTACGCAATGAGATACATACAGTCAACATTCAGATATATATACAGGGGGGGATTCAGGAATCCAGTAAATATAACAGTGTGTCTAAATATAGAGCGTTACTGCTACTAACCACTAGTAAAGAACGAGTGGAGAGTGCCATCACGTTTGCGTTTGCCAGCCCTTGTCGCCCTGGCCATATTCAAGGCTCTGGCAAACCTATCAAGATGCACAGTAGCAGCTTGGTTGATACCCAAGCTGGAGGCACTTTCGGACAGCTTATTGAGCGCCTCTTCAGCTTCGGCAAATGAGGCAAACACATCGGCAGGTTCCGGGTCAGCGTCCATCGGTTCAGGCTCCTCATCATCAAGGACAGCCAGTTCGGCTTCGGTTGTTGTCGTTTCCAGCTCTTCTATCTCCTCGTCGATGGTTGCACTGATGACTTCTTCGTTGCGGTTGAATCGGCGCCGTTCATGTTGGCGCCGTTCATGTTGGTCTAGGTCGGATTGGAGGAATTGTTATGGTTTGCTTGCACTTGTTTTGTTGCTCAGAGAATTGTTTTTGTCTCCTCTCTGCCATTCTGCGCAAATCTCGCGAAAACACCATGAAAAACCCCACGAACGAAGATTTGCGCGGACTGGCAGAGAATGGACAGGCAAGCGAACTCCCATCGGCACCTCATCGGCATGCATTGGCATGCATTGGCATTTACACGTATGTCTCTGTCGAATTGGACCGTTTGCGATGGATTGCGAGCCATTGTTTTGCTGCTACGAGATTTGCGAAGGGTGTACTGACGTCATTCACGGTCACTCATGACTGGGGGGGGGGGAACTCGAGATATAATAAATATTATAGAGCGAATAAATATAAGATTATAAATATAAGCGAGCGTTAACTGTACTACTGCCATACTGGTACTCGTGCAACTCGATACATGTATGTAATCAGCTTGCCAGCTGGACTGCTCCCAGCCAAACGTGTCAAATTTATTAATTAAATTGACATACATGCAGAGGTAGGCACCTGTAGCTATGACACTCTATCAGTTGCCAAAGAAATAGATGCAGATTACGGATGACTGCAGAGAAGTTTCATTAGATCGGTTTGGGCGTTTCGACATAGAGACATAGAGGGTGGGACTTGTTGAAGTATAAATCTCGATACATTCAACCAAGCTCAGCATTAACTACCGTACTAAGTACGGTACCATACTAGCTAGTAGCTGTACCATCTACCACGGCGACAAATTTCAAGTGATTCGCCGATGGAGGGATCATCTTGTTTATCTGCGGCTTCTCGATCTTGGTGTATACCATCAGAATACAAAATAGACTTATGGACAAGATCTTTTTGCGGCAGAATTTTGATCCTGCGAGTTCTTGATGGTAACAAGATGCTGGAATGCCGCTAGACACTGACGAATTTGCTTTGGTAATTGCCGCAACAATGCATAGCTGATTCCAGCCGAAATGCGAAGACTAGGAGCCTCTGATTTGGGACAAGTATCAGCGTTAAAATAGACCCTTCCGCTTGAACATTCATCCCGTGGTTGAAAGAAACGCTACGAAGTTGCACCTCGATTGGAAGCTTTTGTAAGGATGAGCTAACTAATAAGGATGTATTAAATTTTGTTCTGAGTTGACCCGGGTGCTTTCATTGAGCTGAGCTCTTTTGACACTCATCGGCATATCATATATTAAACTTCCTGTTGCATTAGGAGCTAATCAAAGCCAGGAGGAGCATCCTCTTATAGTCTTTTTGGTTACACAGGTCAACTATTCTCCCCAAATACATCGAAGTGGGGAGCGTAGTGAGGCAGAAAACTATTGCAAATTGGGCAGTGTTTCGAAGAAATTTTCTGGTAGCTACCTAGTAGCAGTTTCCTACCTTTCAATTGCACCCTGGCAGTTCTCTCCATCATCATGCATGATAGTGGACATGGCGGCACCACTGCCGGTAGCCAAGTCCCATGGGCCAGCAACTAACGGTTTCACTAAGGTGTCGCATCTCTTGCTGGAAAAGAGACAGGGACATTTATTTACTAAGACGAGACAGCTATAAAAACCTTCAAACCATGACTTCTAACTCCAAGAGAAAAGTTCAAGGAACTTTTAAATCACTGCTTATCAACTTCACAATGGTTGAATGGGATTGAATGTGTCATCCGCGGATTTACTTTCACACTCTAGGCAGGTCTTCAGGCTTGCAAAGTACTATCACAACGTAGAACGCTACCAGGCTTGCTTGCGTTGTTGATTGAAGCTGGGATGGGAATCTTGGAGCAAACTGTTTGGAACCGTATTTTCACGTGGCTTCTCCTACTAAACAAACTGTCCAGCTAATGAAGCGACCAACCATCTAGACCATCGTGTTATTCGTGTTGAATCGAATCAAGCAGTTCACCAGTTGTGCCTTTGCACGGTGCACGGTACCACGCAATCTCCACACATTTAATTTTATCTTCATCCATCCACACCTCTTATTTGTACAGTACGGAGTAAGCAATTGCGGCCTTCGCCATTTACTCGATGGACTAACGGAAGCAACAAATCTCTCCTCATACGTCTTGTTAGCTTCGCTATCTAGACATAATAAGCTCATTCAGGTCAACCGTACTTTGAACCGTTGTCGTTTGCGCCTGATCACTCTCGTCGACCTGTGGTTCTCATACTGTACGTTACAGATCGACAAAGTTGCTTTGACAACTCTATTAATACCAAGGTACCTCAGGTGGAGTAGATGTCACAAACGAACTCACTTGCTGGAGCCGGAGCCAGAGCCAGAGCCAACACCAGTGGCCGTAACCCTCTTAACGACTTTGCCTCGATGCTACAGGGTTACGTGATGCTTCCTTCAGTGACCGCTAACATGGAATCAAATACTTCTGCGGCTAAAAGCGCTTCGGATTCTGCTCCTTCTGGCAATCCTGAACAAGAATCTAATGCTATTGATGCGGACTTGTTGCTCGCATCCGCTCACGGCGTCGCCCCCGCTGCTTCTCGGGCAAGCCGGTTTGCACCTGATCCGCCTGGAGATCATGTGGAAAAGGAAGATGGCGTCAAAACGAAAGCACCAATCGCTGGCACTGAAACTTCTATCGTCTCACAGTTACGCGTTGCCGACTCGGCTCAGCCTGCTAAGAAAGAAGAGACGACCTCAGAGACGACTGATCAGTCGGACAAGAAGCGCCCTGCTGATTCGATTGCTGCTGTTGCTGCTGCCGCATCTGGGACTTCGCCGACAGGAGCGGCGACGCAGGGAGGCGTAAAATCAGAAGCTTCTCATCCACCGGAAGATAGCAACAAGAAGGCGCGACGCACTCGCAGTTGGGATGAGTTCTTTGGAGCTCTGGCATCGTTCAAAGCCATCAATGGGCACTGCAACGTCCCCGTCGATTATCGCGAGGATCCAGAGCTCGCCGTGTGGGTCCGGGAACAACACGCTCGGCGAAGTGTCCTGTCTCCCGAGGAACGCTACAAGTTGGATTTGATTGGGTCGTTTGAAGCCGCTGGCACTGTGGGAGCCCTCACCAATCAAGCTAACTTTGCCGCTGCAGCTGCCATGAACCCCGCTCAGTCCTTTGCTGCCACCTTGGGAAGCTTTGGAATGCACATGGCACCTGCGGCTCCACAGGCCGGGCCCTTGGCGAGTCGAAACATTTTTTCCACCCTGGAGATCTACAAGCAACGGCAAGCACTGGCCTCGTTGGCGGCAATGGGACAGCACACTGGCGCTCAGGGACTTCTGTCCTCGGTGGCACTTGGTCAAACTCCTTTGACGCCAATGATGGGTCAGGTGGACCCGAATCAGCAGCAGTGGAACTTTATGTATCAGCAAGTCGAGTCCTACTTTAAGGTACATGGGGAGGTTGACACTCTTGCCACTTCGACCACTGATGCATCCCTCCGACTTTGGATGCTGCAGCAGAAGAACCGCTATCGCAGCGGGACCATGCCCGAAGACCGTTTGGCCAAGCTCAAGGCTGTCAAGTTTGTCACTGACAGTGAAGGCACTACCGGCAGTGCTGCAGGTGGCGTGAGCGGTGATGCCAAGAAACCCGCGGCACAGAGCAAGGAGGCCGCCAAGAGGCGTGTCCGATCGTTTGATGAAAACTTCAATGCCTTGTTGGAGTACAAGAATATCCATGGCAATGTTGATGTGCCTCAAAAATGTAAGTTGGCAGAGATTTTGCAGAGTGACGATTCGATTGAATCGTGTGGTATTATACCTCACCTAGTCCCTGCCGTTTCGATTTGTTTGATGCACATTCCAGACGATAAAGATCGAAAGCTGGGCATCTGGGTGAAAAATGTTCGTCAGCACCCGAATCGGCACTCCGAAGAGCAGCGGGCACGGCTGGACGCTATCGGCTTCAAATGGCGAAAGCTTCAGCTAGACGACCAATGGACCGAAGCATTCAAGCAGTTGCTGGTAAGTGACATGATTGTGTCATTGAGAGGGTTTTCTTCGTCCTGGAGGTATCTCACAGCGGGTCTCTTTTTGTTGTTGGTTGGATAGGAGTATCGCGACAAGTACGGAGATTGCAATGTTCCGTCCCGGTGGAAGACATCTCCGGCATTGGCACGTTGGGTCCATACACAGCGAACCATGTACCGTCGCAACAAGCTACTCGACGAACGAAAGGAAAAACTTGAGGAGGCCGGCTTTGTCTGGGACTGCAACGCTATGCGTGACGATGAAGCGTTTCACGAGAATTATGAAAAGTTGGTTGCCTTCAAGACCGTCAAGGGCCACTGCAACATCCCCAACAAATACCGACGTGATCGTCCTTTGGGTCGTTGGGCTTCCAAGATGCGAGATCTGTACGCCGCTGACCAGTTGGACGCGGATCGAAAAAAGGCCCTGAATGATATTGGGTTTGCTTGGAAGTTGGATGGATCAGGCAAGAAGGATGGGGCTGATGGCGGCCAGGACACTCCAGAGGGAATTGATGGAGATTGGAGTGGCGATGAATCTGAAGGCGAGGGGCCCATTGCAGCTTAGTAGCTTGGACAACCAGCACATGTACTAGTACCGTAGAAACGGCAGCACGAAGAGGGCAACGATAGGCGATTGTAAAGAATTGATAATAGCTGATTTGTTTTCGTTCACCATGCGCATCCAAAAATTTTGTTGTTCAGTTCGTCGACGCAATCTGGAGCCGACTGATGGAAGCGGGTAGACTTCAAATGACGACAACAAAGGGACGACCAGCTGCCCTAGCTACCGGTAGCTACCGGTAGGCCAAATAAAACGAGAAGGTTTGGACTAGCTCCCGGTCGCCTTAGCTCCTGGGCAGGTAGAGCAAATGTATATCCCACAGGGCTCAACTAGCCTCAGGAGAGGATGATGGGGCCAATCAGCTATCAAAGGGGTACCGTACAGTACTTCGAGGTCCTGAGCATGGTTGCCACATCAAAGGCAGTTGCTCATGGTCGACAGATGAAGGATGAAGGTGGCGAATGGCATGTGGGTGGAGGGAGCTGTGGCTGAAGAACCATGGTTGATTGATGATCATTCCCAGCTCTGAAAGCTTTTAAAAGCTGGGTCCTTTTTTTTGCGGCTGGCGGCAGCTGGCACAGCCAACACTGCAACCTTACACCTTGACCTACTAGCTAGCAAGCAGACTAATACCATAGTGGCAGCATTATTCTTGCTCCAATTCTAGATCCAATTGAAGCTATGCATCCATCTGGTCGCCCACTGTAGGGTCTCGCGTAAGGCTACAAGGGCTTCAGGCAAGAAAAGATTTGAACGGCAGAACCGGACGTGTAAGCCACGCGTTGGATGAGACAACCGGCAAAGTGGGTGTCCATGTATTTGCCGATTTCAGCCCGTCATTGCAGTCGGTGGGCGTGCAGATAAAGCCAGGAAACTTAGTCGAAGATCCTGCAACCTTTCTTGATGGATTCCACGTGGTAGAGTCAGGCGATGAAGGACTTGGAAGGATTGCCGTTGCCACGCAAGACTACGCTGTTGGAGACACTGTACTAGTGGAACCACCTTTCTTGGTGTTTGACCCACAGTCAGGGTACCCAGGAATGATGGATGCCTATTTGAATTCTGATGCGGCCAGTAGAAAAGACATGATGGACATGTATTGTCCACCTTTGCCAGAGGAAGAAACAGAAGCAGAACAGAAAACGAACGGAGATATTGATGCTGTACTCCAAAGGAAACAGGAAGAAACTCTTGAGCGTCTCGATTGGCTGGAATTCGATTGGAATCAATATGCCTGTCAAGAACCCTCCATCAAGACATCCATGCCATTGGAAACAGCCAGGAGAGTAATGCGGATCATTGATGCCAATGCTCACAATTATGCAATCCAAACAACAGGAGGGATAGTGGACACTCCACAAAATGATCAATCCGCATTGTTTGCCCTAGGCAGCAAGGTAGAGCACTCCTGTGCTCCCAACTTGAACTATGCAACTGAACACGGAAAGCTACAATACACTGCCATTCGACCCATTGCCAATGGGGAGAGGATATCCATTTCCTATGACACGCCAAAGTTTTCGCATCCTCGCAAGCAACGACGCGAATTCCTCCAAATGAGCAAGGAATTTACCTGCCGTTGTCGGCGCTGTCGGGGTCCGGATGAATGCAGTCCGTATCAATTTTCCTGTCCAACTTGCTCCTCCAGCTCGATTGCATTTTCGAACGAAAGCGGTGACGAGTATTTCTGCATATCCTGTCAATTTACGCTCCCTTCGTCAAATAGTGGTATTCGAGAACAAAAAGAATTGGAGAATTCTTTATCGCAACAACTGGAAACAGAACAGAGCAATATGCAGGCTGGAGTCTTTGATAAAAAGATGATTTCAAGAATGGTGGCACTGCTCAACACAATGACCCAGCAACTGCATCCGCTCCATTGGTTGCTTCCACAGGGTTGTGATTTGATGAGTTCCATGGCTACATCCGTTGCTCGCCTGGACATGAAAGGTGGTCAGTCCCCCACATCTCCTATGGTACGAACACTGTTGTACCTATCAACACTCTCCTGGCTGAACCAGGCTTGCTGGTGGCAACGAATGGGGGCCGTTGCGTATCAAGACATGGAGCTCAAGGATGCTGTGAGGGATAGCAAAACACCAGCACCACTCCTCCTTACCGAAAACCCGACCTTGCACACTGTGGAAACCATGGCGGAACAAGTCTGTGAAAACCTTTCAACCAACAGCTTTGTCAACATGGCTCATCCCATCTATCATGCTGGTCAAGATTGGTTGCTGGCCGGTCATGCTCCTCAAGTGGCTCGACTATACCAAGCATTCATGCCCATCTTTCAACAATGGAACAAGCTCGGTGACGAGACGCGGGACAATATTGCCGTTTTGGTACAGACCGAAGGTGCGACGAATGAATTCCCCAACCACCTGCTTCTAAGCTAAGCAAGAACATCAAAATTGCACTATTTTTACCACTCTAGTGTACACGCACATTGATTCATTCGCTTGGCAGCGCAATCTGATTCTGAACTCTATTTTGGTCGAAGCCAACATCAAATCTCGTGATGATCGCAGCTAGCCAGCCCATGCAACGCCCCCCCAGACGTTTGATGGATCGTCCGTCTTAGGGTTGGGTGGTCTGCAGCAGCAACTCTTGCATAGAAAGCTGCGTCCATTTCGTGTTCTCGTCATCTCCGATGACCTTGAAGTCATCTCGTAGTGCATCGACCCATTCCTCGTACTTATCTTCGATGTATCGAACCAAGAATCGAGTCTTGAGATATTGGTCTACTTTGAGAACTTTAGCTTCGTAGTATCGATTGTACGACTTCCAAAATACGGCAACTCTCGTTCCCGGGCTGAGCTGTTGCATTTGCGATTCGTTCATCATCTGAGCGGACGTCTTGGGGGGACCGAATGTTGTGTTGTGTTTGCCTTGCTCCTTGGCAATGGGAAACTTGAAAAATGTGGTTTGCTGAGGCTCCACAAGAGACAAAGGCGTCTCATCAGTAGCAGATTCGTCATAATCGGCGCATGCGGCGTCTCCGTGCCTAGCAAGGTTCCTTTGCGAGGAGGTGCGTTGATGGAAATTCCAACCAAGCTTCTCCTTTGGCCAACGACGATATCCACTCGTATGTTTGTCTCGGGGAAGACTTGAAAGTGGGACTTTCAATGTGCTTTCATTGTTCGTGCAAGGAACGCTTTTGTCGCCTTCTTCTGGCTCGATAATGGACATGTGAAGCGATTTTGCGCTACCGACCAGACATGCCAAGACAGCAGCGAGATAAATCATCGTAAGGCCACGCATCTTGATTGAAGGATTCGAGATCGAGAGTGAGAGTGAGTCTTTGAACTTCTTGAGTGCTTGAGAGGCATACAACAGTGCGAAAGAAATGCAACACTGGAACAAAACCATCGCCGAACCTTGAAAATTTGTGAAGCAAAATTTGCGAGCATTCCCAATGAATTTCAAAACAGGCCCGGCGTCAACGAAGGGGGAGACTCTCACGATCACAAATCTGATGAGCACAGGCCACGATTTATGTACCGGTACCGGTACCATACCGGTACATCAGTACCGCTACCGGTAGGTCTGGATGCGGTGTGGATGCTAAGGCCTCCTCGTCTTCGTGATTTTGTTTGTTTGCAAATGCACTTGTTGCTAGCTAGATTAGGTTGTTTCTTTCTCTTCTAGTAGTATTTAGTAATGAAAGTATGCATACATATTGCGTGTCGATAGTCATTGAGAGCCCTTTGATTGGCATTCCGTGCGCCAATGTTATGCTGACATTGCCGAGTAGGTTTTTGACTTGCCATGCGGCTTTCTCTCGGGTGATAGTCGGGCACTTGTGCACAAAAGACAGCTTGATTCACTCCCAATACACTCCTTCTCTTGAAGCTCCTTCAATGACATTGATTCGTCTTCTGTCAAACTGGCACGACGTCGAGGTGCCTGAGGGGGTTCGTCGATCACTGTACTGGCTTCAGCTGGTGTTACCGACGCAACCTCTCGGGCGAGAGAAGCTCTCCAGCTGTGCCATCGAGTGATTCTCTTTCTTTCCATTTGAAACGAGCTTCGACCCGCGGCGTTGTCTTGGACAACCAGAAACATGCGAAGCTTATCATTACCCCAGCTGGTAGCCGTGAATTCGTCGAGTGGTGAGCACATCTTCTTGGCGGTTGTTTGGGTCCTTTTCACGTACTCCCTGAGTGTTTAGCTGCTGGTTGATAGACACAACTTGCGTCTCTGAAATTGTGAGCTTGTCTAGCTAGTGCGGTCGTAAGTTTGGGAGGAGATCTCAAAGGCGAGGCCGGGCCTTTCCGGTACCGCTACTAAGCAACCAGGCGCTCTCTTCTCTCTTCCCTACTAGCTAGCTTGGCTGTAGAGAAAACACAAATGTGATTGAACCAAATAATGCCCAATACTCCAGTGCTCAGTACTAACCAGCAAAGCACATAAAGAGGTGAATAGATGGCGGCAGCAAGACTTAACCTATGTCTCCCTGTTGAGGCATCTTTCTTTGTCGACAATGCAGCTCCCAGCAAGCGGTGAGTCTTTGCACTTTTACTTGCTTCTTGACCGGATACAGTGCTTGCACATTCTTTCTACTTCTATTATTAGCAAGCAAACGAGGATGCATCATTTCTTAAGTTGATCTCCTGGGGCTCCTCGGAGGCACGAGCTGCTGTGCCAACCGAACAGTTTCCTTTGCTGCTTCAAGGAAAGAGCTCTGTGGATCATTTCTTGCCAAAGCAATGGACGGGGGCAAGGACTGAGAGCTGCCCTGACTTTGTTCTTTTCGCTCGCAAGTTTCAGCCCAGTATCACTACCGAGAGCGGTTGTCTTCCCATCCCGGCACCGGTGGTACTAGTACGTTGGTACAGCAACGCTGTGTTCGTGTGCGAGCGGCCCCATGGTACTTTACTCCAGCCAGTGCGGTCGCCCACTGGGAATGCACATTCCAAGAGAAGGCACGTTCACTGAGCAAACCTTATCTATACCCGTCCTTCGCAAGATGTCCCCTATTTCAATGATGCACAGCCGACCCACTGGAGGACAGCAGGACAGCAGATATATGAACTTGTCGAATGACACTATTCTTGAGTATATAGCATTTAGGTTCCTGCTGTAGATGAGATTTGTAGCCGATTGAATGATTCTGAGAGCGGCTTGCAGCTGCTTCTAAGAATTATGTTACAACCAATCTCCACACTGCAGATCCTCCCAAGCGTGCTGTGTTTTCCAGTACAGATGATGTACTGCAAAGCATCGACTGCTTACATGAAGAGCAAAGAGCGAAAGGAAACATGACATTGTGCTCAGTAGCTAGCTAGCTAGCTAGCTAGCGTAGCTAAAAGGGTATTGAGCTACTGCGGGACAAAGAAGATTGCCAGTACATTTAGGTTAGGGAGCAAAGTACACCTCACGTATTCATTGCAGTCGTCAAGCCATGGTGCTTTGTCTTGTCTTGCCCTGAAGACTTGCTGTGACTGTTGCCGAACCCAGCCAGAAAGCATTTGTGCCATGCGAAGCCTATCTGTGTTCCAAGAAAACCATGTGATGGTGCTGTTACTTCGACGACGTCTGGTACAGTACTCGCAATCTCTGGCCAGAGCTGTAGTCAGCTGAACAGACAGCTAGTGAAAGTACCCTGTTTGCGAATGAACTCAAAAACTCAAGCTCAACTAACTTGTAGCCCCGATATGTGACAGGGAACAAAGGTGCAACTTTGGAACGAGTTCGTTTTGTCCAATAGCCCTGCCCTCTGCAACTAGCCCAGTAACACCAAAGAAAACCAGCTCCCCAGCTACCGGTACTGGTACGAACGCAAAGAATGGTTGACAGGAAGATCTGTGTTGCATTGGAATTGAATCACTGGAACACCTGGTAGCTAGACAGTTAGCCAGTGAGATGGCGGAGGCTTTTGCAACAAGATCCAATAGAGTTGCTTGCTTCTTTCGGGGTTTTATTGCATCTCTTGTTGGGCCTCCTCTCCAACAACAGATGAGATTTCAGTGTTGGCTTTTTGTTGGTTAGTATCGCTGGGTAGCTACTACAGGTGGAGTTTGGTTCACACATCCGGCCCCAGCATCGTGTTCCTTCGTGCCAGGCTCTAAAACTACTACAAAAAGTCTGAAGAAGCAAGGGTATTGTGCACGGGAGGGCTTCCCATGGGTCACATTCGTTGAAGGTACATGTAACTGGTTTCTCATGATGGCTGGTTCCTTTTGGAGCCTGGAGTTTGGTACTCCGTTTCTTGGCAGTAACCTGGATACCGGTATGCAGGAAGCTGGCTGGATCATCTCCATCTCCAACACACTGCTCCGAAAATCTCTGCTTCCTGGCTCCTTGCGATCGCGGTATTGAATTACCAGTGGATCCCCTTCAAACGTTGTCTCCACCTCACTGATTGTGATATTACAGTTCCAGCACAATGGGTTGTTTACCGTAGACACGGCTGCTCATGCTCTTGGAGGTGGCACAATTGACAAAGACAGTGGAGGAGTTGTCATCATCATGTGTCAGTACTGCGATTCCCCTGCCATCGTGTTCATGTCCCGAAATCACCACTTTTGGTTGGATGGTTCGTCGTTGGATCCGTCGCTCCAATGCCGGACAGCCTCGTCCACAATCCACAAAGGACTTGACGGGACAATGACTAATGAGAATGTCCAGATCGTCTGTTGGTATCTTGTCCAAGCACCCCTCTCCATTTTGAAGGGGTTCCAAACAGGGCCAGAAAAAGTCGGTCCCATGAATACAGAGCGTCTTGTCGTCACCAAAGCGGAGAGTGACGGTTCGATTCTTGAGGAAAATGGCATTGCTTAGAATGGCTTTGGTCCTCAACTTCCATTCCGCCTGGTATTCATGATTGCCATTGACCACAATTTTGTAGGGATACGGCAGTTCCCCGAGCCATTCGTTGAAATCTCGTAAATGCGCTTCCCTGCCGTAGCTCGTAAAGTCTCCGGCATGAATTAAAAGGTTGGCTTGTGGAGGCATGTCGATCGATCGATGATGGTTGTGCGTATCCGAAATGCAAACAATCGTGATGCCCAAAGGAGCGGACGAGGCGACTTGGTGAACAATGGCGGGTGCGGTTTCATCCTCACCGTTGCTGCTGCTGCTGCCGGGTATTCCTCTCATGGTGGTTTGTCTGCATCCAATACCACTGATGATGAGACGATGGGAAAAAGTCGTCAAATCTGAGACGTCCTAATAAAGCACGACCTAATTAGAATTAAAGCATTAACCCTTTGTAATCTGAAAAAGCATTAAAAAGACACCTCAATGTCCGCCCGGGTTGGCTTCCACAGCAGCCATTCGAAAATCGGTAATGGATTTTGACTGCGACCATGCTGCATCCACCATGGCCTCTGACAATAACCATTCCTCATCCTCGCTGCCGACCTGGCGGGAGGTCCTACTGACAGGAACAGCGTCTCCCAATAACAGTGCTGAAGCAGCAGCAGTGGTTTTACCATGTGACGGCAAGCAGAGTGTGAATGGGGAGGAGGAAGCAACGAACCCATCCCTGTTGGACACTGAGCAACATCCTCTAGTCCTTGTGCTGGTCAGCAACAACGACGGAACTGGCGTTGGCGTGAGACTACTGCACCACTTGGCCAAACTAGAGGACGAAACTGCCAGTCCTACAACAATAGCAACAAAAACCTATCAATATGTAGCTCTTCAAGGGTTGGAGTCGAATGCCAAACCGGTGGAAATCACCAACTGGAATAATGAGACCATGAAAGGACGGCAAATCCAGGTTCCAGCCTTCCACGTGCTCAAGACCTTGGATAGCCCAGAAAAGATTCTAGAGTCTCAAGAACAGTTTGCAACTGTAGAATCTTCCTATAAGGACACCTACTTGCTTGGTCCCATGAAAACAGTCAAATCCTCTTTTATGAAGATGGTCTTGTTGACGAATGAGCCGTGTCCGACATCATTGTTCCTGGCTGTCACTCGAGCCATTCAAACAGCTCAGCAAGTCGATGAGAAGGCATGTGGTACAGTGCTGGCATTTATATGGAATGCCATTCTCGCCACCAAAATGAAGACACTCATCGATGGGGTAGTTTTGGCCGACACCCACTTGCCATCTGCTCACGCATGGAGTAGCCAGCTACATCAAAAATACATTAGTACTGCCTCTCCTCTCTTGGATAACCACACTAGCAGCCCTGCCGATGATCGTGGTGACATGCAGGGGAGTTCTGCGATAAACAATGCAAGTACTCGCGAAACAGCGATTGGTTCACCAACACCAGATCCTGCTTCCCCAGGCGTTCAGACTGATGCCTGCAACAACAACAACACTGTCAACAACAATGCTGTTGACATCACCACGGAAAACGGTGCCATGCCTTCCACTCCTACTGACGCTACAGTCAACAGAACAGCTGCAAGATCTGCCAAAAAGAAGAGGGTCCGTTCCTGGCAAGAGAGTTTTGAGTGCCTCCAACGATTCAAAGAGCAAACTGGACATTGCAATGTGCCGAGGGAATACAAACATGACAAAACACTGGGAGAATGGGTCAGAAATCAACGAGCCACCAAATGGACCATGTCAGACGAGAGGAGATCCAATTTGGAGAGTATTGGGTTTGTCTTTGAGAATACACAACAAGAACGAAGCAATCATCAATGGGAAAGCTATTACAAAAAATTGTACAATGCCAAGTTATACGAACAACAGCATGCTGCTTCAATTGTAGGAGGTCAAAATAATGTCCTCGCAATGCCGAGTCAAACACAGCCACCAACAACACTGTTGGAACCCAATGAAGATCGAGCACTGCAACATTGGGTGGCGGCACAACGACAACACTTCAAAAAGGGCACATTGTCGGCAGAGCGAAAAGCCAAATTGGATCAACTTCCCAGTGGATTTTCGTGGAAAATGAAAAAGGAATACAAACCACGAAGTGGCAATGACAAAGTGTGGCAGTCTGGATATGAGAAGTTGGTAGAGTTTCACAAACGCCACAATCACGTCAATGTCCCCAAACGACCAAATGCCAATCGTCCGCTCTGGGAATGGGTGTACAGTCAACGCAAGGTGTACAATGAAGGCCGGTTGACGCAGGATCGCATTGAGCTCATGGAGCAGTTGGGAATGGTGTGGGACACAGACATGGGTCAGGTGATCCGGGATCAACAATTTAATGCCAAATATGAACAGGCCAAGGCATTCTACCACAAACATGGACATTTGGAAGTTCCGCGGAGTGGAAGAAGTGGCAATTCCACACTGGTCAAATGGCTAGTTCGGCAACGGGAACAACTCAAGAACAATCGACTGGATGAAACTCGTCGGGACATGCTGTCCGCGCTGGACTTTGATTGGGAGGGTAATCCGGAACAGAGAGAGAAAAATCTGGAACAAGTCTTGTGGAGTGATGGATACGAAGAGCTCAAAGAGTACAAGGAAGCCTTCGGGCACCTGCAGGTGCCACGTCAAGGCACGCCCAGCGAACGACGCATGTCCAAGTGGCTGGCCAAGCAACAAGTGGCATGTCAATTCGACGATCTGGATCCAAGTCGCAAGACACTCCTTGTTGCTTTGGGTGTGGAGTTTGTGGCCTTGTCAGCGACTGCTGGGAAGCGTCGCGCTCACCAGCCCGCAGCCCAATTGCGAATGGTTGAAAAAGAAAGTGGCTTGAAGGCTGCAAAAGCCTCCCAAGTGGCAGTAGCAGGGGCCAATAAAGAGCGCACATTGTTGTCGCCAGCAGATCCAATGGATCATGATGTTGGGGCGTCAAATGCTGCCTCGAAAAATGTTTATTCAGAAGCCAAGCGGATTTTGGATTCCAAAGGTTCCAATGATACCCAAGACGGCCCCGATCTGAAGAAGGCAAAACAAGACTGTGAGGTGGAAAAGCAGATGGAATATGATGCTCCCGTGTTGAAACCTATGTTTGCGTAGAGGACTGACTACCAATAGCTTGAAGAGATAGCTAAGCCTAAAATTAGACCTAATTGTGCCACCATGGAAACATGCAACTGGTCTGCAGCAATTAGAGCCATCATCCACAGATCATGGGTACATTATTATTTGACAGCAACTGGTAATAGATACAATCCAATGCATGCTCGTCAAGGTTTTCCTTCTCCGAAGCATCTTGGATCAGCACTTGTGCGGTAGGTGGTGAAGGGTTTGTCATGCTGCTATTTTTTGTGGCTGGACAAGCAAGAACTGCACTTGTCACGACCCCTGCTGCTGAACCACTAACTGTTGCAAGAGCTGTTCTTGAGATGTATTGGCATCCACCATCACTTTCCGAATCCTTCTTTGATTCAGCGTCAAGTACCAATGCCTTTGTTGCTCCAACAACGGCGGAGGATTTTACTCCGTCTTTTTCTTGTGGTGCCGTTCCGTTTAAACTGTAGACAATCTTCTAAGAAATCCAACTGGAGAGTTGAACGCGACAGAATTCCCACGCTAGCTAGTTTTTGTTGTTGAATCGGTAAGCGGCAGGTTTCTTCGCCATTGGTAGCAAGCGTAAGAGGAGTTTCGTTTGCTGCTTCGGCACCCACAGGTAGTACGTAAGGGGAAGGGAAGGACATGATCCAATGCACACACTGCCCGAAAGATCTCCTCCAGGTTGTCGTCATTAGTCGTAGTTCAAGAGACAAGGGCCGTGTATTGCGAACCGGTGATTTACTGAAGTAATAAGCCAATCGACAGGCGCCACAGTTTTGCGGAGTCTCTTTCGTTTTAGTGCCTCTTTTACAACGATTTCACTGGCTCCACATACCCCAGTCACAAAGGTTGAGCAGTTCGTTTAACTAACTCAAATCCCAACAAGCTTTCCATTACTGGGGCAGTGTATATTGTTGCGTGTTCACTGTCTCTTTGTTGGAGATTTTAACGTCACTTTCGTCGCTCAATCTGGCAAGTCCAGGGAGACGATGATTTCCTGCCTCATATAGAGACACTCTTCGTAAGTCATTTCTGTTCCAGGAAAGACAGGAATCAACTTGAGAGTTTGCTGCTGTTGGGTTTCTGATTTTTCCTGTGTCGTCGTGGCGTGGATGCGGAGAGCCACCACATTCATTACTTTGTGTGACCAGATTACTTCATAGACCACACAATCCACAATTTGATCACGAGGGAGAAATAGTTGATTGCGCATTTGGACGGAATTATCCTGGCTGCGTTGATTCTTGGCGCTACTGGAGGACCCCTTGCGACGAGTCTCTTGGGACAGTTGTGCTCCCAGAGCTGGATAGATTGTGAGAACCGCAACGGTTTCTTGGCTTTTCTTGGCTGGATTCGTCGTCGCAAACACAATAATGCTGCCAACGGCAAGTAGGGCCATTGTGCAGGTTGCCTTGGACAGATCCGTAACCTCCAAATCTGCATCGTACATCTTTCCAATCCGATTGCATAGCTGTTGTAGCCATGGTTCCACCCGGCTGTCCTGCAGTGAAAGCGACAAACCAACGAGGACCGATAACAGACAGATGAAGAAAGGCCCTCGAAGAGAGAATATGTCGCTCCCGTCGCATAAACACACCTCTAGGCGACGCCTCTTCATACTGCCTCCGTCCTAGCTAACGTATTCCGGGAACCTTCCCATGCATGGGAGCTCTGTGGTTGTTATAGTTGGCAGTTCGGATGATTTGGTGTTTGTTGGCAGCAGTAATTCGTGACCCAGCAATCTTGTCAACCTGATTCGTGCTCAATCACGATTTTTTTTTTGACCGTTGCCCCAGCAACAAGCGGAACGATGAAGGAGCTCTCCCTTCCGCGTGCAACCATCCCATACATTGGATGCCTGTAAAGGTATCTCCCGAAGACAATCATATTGTCTTGTAACTGCTCAATTGGTGCAACGACGCGGGGATCCTAGTTGGAATCTCGACCAAAGCTGGGCTTGCCGGGTTTATTGGCATTTCGAAATCTTCCTCCGTCCCGTGACAAACAAACGGTCAAGACATGCAAATTGGCTTTCGAGTCGTCACAATTTAACTTTATTTGGCAATCAAATCAGTCAAACAATCGTATACATACAATACGATACGGATCCTACAGCAGGACAGTCGCCAATTGGAGAGCTCTCTTCTTCCCTCAAGTACCGGTAGTAGCCAGGGCAGCCAAGTTCAATCGTGGAGAGGGAGACGACACCAGGAAACGTGCCGCCAACACTCTTGCTTTCGGTTGAAACTGTTCGACAAAGAATAGACTGAAATCAAAAGAAGGAGAATCATCTAGTTACAATAAACAGGGAAGCAATTCGTTCGGTTGATCGAAAAAGGCAGACTCGTGGGTCCTAGACGGTTCTTGGACTCTTCGTGGTCGATCAAAGGACAGCTGGAAGCTAGCTTGAACGAATGGTCCATGGAGAAGCTAGCCGAAAACTTCTCGCCAGGACCCTTTGATGTCATTTGCGCAAGGTGCGTTTGCCCCAATGATGTTTTGGTTTGGTTCACATGTCATTGGATGCTTCAATCTCAACCTTCTCCGTCATTGTTTCTTCTCAACACCTCACCGCACCTCGTCAATAGAGGCAAAGAGGCATATACACACGCAGGCAATCGGAGCTTCCGAGCGACACTGGAGTTTCACTTGGACAGCTATGCCAATGCCGGATCCAAGCAAGAAAAGACAGAAATCGTGTCGCTCATCTTCAATGCAATTCAAGCTGCTACCGCCGACGGCGGTTTCATTCGCAAGAATGAAGAGGGACATTGGTGTCGTGTCCCCAACCATGTAGCTAGAGAAAAGGTACGCTGGATGCACCCGGGTTGACGGCTCCTACCAAGCGCTGTTTCGTCGGTCCAATCATCCAGCCCCCCTCTCATATGTACTTATAATTTGCTTGTGAAGGTGGGACAGGGATTCAGGGACCTTTTGCATACAGAATACAGGAGCAGCACGAAAGCCAAGATTGAGAGACGGAGGGCTCGCTCGTATACTACTCAAAAGCCGCCACCTTCGGCTGCGGCTGAAGATCGGAAACCACTCTCTGTCACGAGATCAAGTGAGGACGAGAATTCGAGAGCTGCGATGCCGCCCCTGCTTGGGACGCAAGCACATTCTGTCACGAGATCAAATGATGCGAGCTCGAGAGCTGCGATGCCGCCCCTGCTTGGGGCAGTATCCAAGTCGTTCTCGTACGACAGCGAGCCGCTTCCATGGGCTCAGAGCGGCTCTGCCCAAATGGACATCCTACGGCAGTGTTCCTTTTCATTCATTAGAGAGGACCAAGGGACGGCAAAGATGAAGTCCTCTGGTGCTGAGAGTACAGCAATAGTAACACCAAAAGAGACTCGTACAGGAACAAAGGACAGGAGGGGCCTCGACGGTGGAAACGAAGCTTCTCATCCTGAAAACTACGAAGTGGCCCAACGCAATCTGGCGCCTCCACAACATGCCCATAGATACGGCAGTGGGAGATCCGTCGACTCAGCAGCGCGTTCTACTACACGTACTTATCCAGGGCAACAGTATCCACATCCTCCGCAGCTTCCACATCACCTGGGACGGGCGCCGTACAATGATGTACAACAACAACACAGGGCACCAGCATGGCAAGAACGCGCATATTATAGACCTTCAAGGGGTGGCAGCAATAGAGCTATCTACCGCTACGATGATGGCAGGAGCCTGAGGGGTACTAAACATCAACCTCCCTCCCGTAGATACAGGTAGAAGCTATTTGCTTTTCATAACTCATAACTCATAGATTGTTGCTTAGAGATACATGCAGTGGTTACATCTTCTGTTTCCTTTGACATGTTGGTAATAACAGCTCACTTAACAGCTCACTCCCACACAACTACCTTCGGCGCTGTTCCGAAGTTGCCACAGCCCGAGCTACAGCCCTTTTTTGCCGACCACGACTGATCCACACGCATCCTCCTTGGAGCCCTGTAAGTTAACTCTGCTTGTAAAGTGAAGAAGCATCGTCCAACGAGCTACGGTAGCCACGGTCGATGGCAACACCTACTTCTTGGTCGTGTCGTCGCCAGTGTTGGACGAGCTAGAGGGGAAGGGTTGATGAGCCCGCCGGAGTTATTGGCAAAGACCAAAGAGCAAGCGATTGCAACTAACTGAGTGCAAGTGTGGAAATTTATTTGGTTATGAAAATTCCAGTTATGATTAACTGAGTACAATGCAATGCATCTAATATAAAGGAAAGCGAATACTGTAGCTGTAGCTGTAGCTGTAGCAAGCCAAAGCAGCCAGTAGCCGTCATCTTCCAAGTGGTTCTGTCTCGTCAATAGTTTCCGTTCGACGCAGAGGAACCAATGGGAGGCCCTCTGTTTTGTTGTCCTGTTGATCCCAGAAACGATAGAACAAGTTGTCTCTATCCTTGAAATTGTGACCGCCAGTTACATGGCGGAACAGAGCAAAGTTCTTCATGAGTGCTTTCCCCAACGCAATGGCTTCTGAACGGGACGATGCCAAACCAGCTTCCAGCATTTGGTCCACTGCATCGGACCCCGCAAAGCAATTCTTGTGTTTCCTAACTCCATGTCGGTGATCGCCCACCTCGACAATGGACTGGAATCGAACGGCTTGCTGCGCTAGCTCATTGACATCAACAATCTGGGCGGTATTTTCAACAGGAAATGGTAGCTTTAGTAGATCAGAAAGACAAGGCTTCTCTTCCTTGGGGTGCTGCTGCTTGGAAGCATCCTTGAGTATTTGAACATCATCATCATGTTCATCATCATCACTGTCATCATCATCATCATCACCACCTAATGAGATGTTGGATGCAAAGCTACAACTTCGCCTGGGCTTGTTGGGAGGGCTGTCAATCACTGACCTGCTCACAGACTGAGGGCTGGTATCTTCGCAAGCTTGTGTCACCTCATCAACAGCATCCTTGGAAAAGTCACAGTCAAGCTTGGGTACACTAACTTGGCGCCTTGGAATGAATGGTTTGCTGTCCACGTAATGGCCTTGGGATCCTCTACGGAGGTGTGTTGCAGATGGTTCAGCTTGGACTGCCACCAATGTACTGGTACCATTGAATTCTTGTTCGTCGTCGTCATCCTCATCATCATCGTCGCTGTCATCACTATCCGATGAGAAGCTGATACTTGAGGCCAGGCTGTGGCCACTGGGCCACTTGCACCCCATCAACGACGCAGGATAAGATACCAATTGCTCTCTGCCTCCCACAATCTTCCTCAGGGCTAGACTGCGCTTCTTCTGGACAACTGCGACGGTCCGCATGGGCGGCGAAAGCTCCTTTGAGTTGATGAAAGCACATGTGAAATCTCTCTGAGTTGGAGGCAACGATGCTGCATTGCTAGTGGTGAGGAGTTGTTGGTTTGTTGGAGGGTTCATTGTCTCACTTTTGTCGACTGGCTGGCTGTAAGACTAATATTGTGGATGAGAATGGAGTGATCACAACTTCTTGTGGTGATCAACAATCAACAGGATAAGGAATGTGACTCTTCTAATTGTGCCTGAACGCGACCTTTGTGTCTGAATGGACTTCGCTCTGCCTTCAAGGAGATGCAGCTTGGTGAACGAGATGCTTTCGCTTGCTCAATGTGCTTTTTCGCCGTGCAAACTGCTTCAAAACGAATCTTCAATCGTTCGAACGGTCGCCAACAACAACCACAACAAGCCAATACAGCAACCGATTTGTACCACCATACTGCTGGAAGTAGACTGGATCTTGTTGTTCCGATAGCTTCCCACGAATTTGTTGCGACCTTGCCGCTGAGCTCTCGGACGTGATCTACTTTCCATCGGGCTATTGCACGTACTATTGCAGGTCAGTGGTTTCTTGTGGTTTTTGTGGATGGAACTTGTGCCTCTTACGATCAGGCAACGTCAGCATTTAACGTAAAAATGTCAGTGTGAAACATCGCATCAAACCAATAACCGATGAATCGAATCTAATCAGGCTTTCTGAGTGACTGTCATGTCAATCATCTTACAAAGACAAAATTTTTAAAATATAATATATTATGAGGGTGACCTTCCGTTTACTCGAGTACATGTGTAAGTCTACGGTCTGCCGTACGTTCCATGCTACCAATCCGATTGGATCACACTTGAGTTCCTACAAATAAATGTACCAGCAAAACCTAACATCGCGGAGTCTTTTACTTGCTGATGTACATCATCCGCTCACTCGGCACCTTGGCATTGCGAGCTGCATGGAAGCGGCACACTATTAATAGTACGTAGTACCCACATTGCTCATTGACGATGATCACTTCTTCAACAGAAACCCATGGCCAAGTCCGCTATGTTCATCAAGTGTTCAAGTGATTCTTCTCCTTTCCCTTGTAACAGATGCGAAGTTTGATGTCAATGGGAAATCTAGCTACAGTAGCTAAAAGAGTCGAGCACACGAACGGTTCCAGAGTATTGCACGTCGTCATCGTGGGAGTATCGTGGATACTTCCAGGCTGCAGCCAACAAGTAAGTGGTGAAGTGTGGAGGGCACGGCAACCAGTGATGCCGAACCCAACCGGTAACTGTGCCACTAGCTAGCTGCTAGTGGTACTGTGCTTATAAAGTGATGCGTTTGATGTGTTGGGTGCGTGATGCGTGATGATGCACGAACTGACACCTTGAACCCTGGCTCACTACTGGCTGGTGCTCCTACACTTACGGTCAATGCCTGAATCCGTTGCTCCTCAAGTAGGCTTGCCGGTACAACTGTACATCTTTTGTTAGACATGTTACCCCGAGGCTTTTTGGTGCTGCTTCTATTCTTGTTGGCTTTGCAGTTCAGCACAACTCACTTGAGCATCAGTTTCTGGCCTTCATGTACCAGTATGGGCTGCCTTCTCATTGTTGGCTCTGGATGTTCCTCCAGCCTCCAGGGATATCCAACAGCTTAGCTATCCAAGAACCGACTTGGAACTTGGAAGGAACGGTAGCTACATGCACCCTCACAAACAGTTAAGGAAGTGGCTACAGCGTCTTCGGACGAGAAGTGGGGGAGACTCGAATCTAGAATGTACTACGGGTAGCATCTAAGTAAGTGCGGCCTGTTTATCTTGTACCGTAGAATTACGTTGTCGCTCGTTGTTGGCCAATGAACTTTATCCTAAGCATCATGGAAACGGGCGCTTGAGCTAGCTAGACAAGCAAGGAGCCACCATGTCCGTGTGGTCTACATGCCAGTAAGCTATTCTAGTCTAGATGCCCATTTCTGAAGCTGTGGTATCCGCCGTTGCAACAGCAACCTTGTTGCTGAGTACTGATTACTTTCCAGCCAGCTACCGATACAGTTGCCAACTGCAAGGTCGACGAGGTTTTGCTGCTTGCTGCCCAAAAACGGCCACTTCCAGCCACGCAGCAAAGGCACTTGTGGTCTGAGTACCAGGGTACTGGTACTGGTACTGCCAGTATGACTACACCTCTTGAATTAAAATTCCAATACTAGCAGGATGAAATCAAAATTAGTATTAGGGAGGTTTAGAGTATAGGAAAATCAAAGGATTTTGCCAGTCAGTGTAGAGGTAGCTTTAAATCAGCAATGCAAGCGATCCGTTCATCATTTGTATAATGATGTGAAGCATCTTCATTGCGGTAGGCAGCAGCGCCAGCTGAGAAATCCACGGAGTGGAAGCTAAGGCTTCGCCTAGGTTTTGAGGGAGGGCTATCCATTGGAGATGTGTGAACTCTGATTTCATCTTCTTGCAGTTCATCATCATCATTCATCATCAGAATCGCAGTCAAACCCCGCTACACTTGCCTGACGCTTTGGCATGAATGGCTTGAAGTCAGTATGAATCGTAGCGAAGCTTTCCTGAAACAATGATCCATATGTTTGGGCAGAATCTTGCGCCAGTCTATCAACTTCGTCATCGTCCAGCAGATCATCATTTTCAGACGAACAAGTGATACTTGAGACGAGACTTCGCTCGCTGGACCATTGGCACTGCTCTCCCCAACATACCACATAAGATCCCAACAGTCCCTTGCTCCGAAGTGCTGCTTTCTTGCAATCATTGCCAACCTCACTAGGCGTTTGGACATCTGCAATGGTCTTGAGTGTGGGTGAACAATGCTTCAAGTTGACAAGCATATCCGCAGAGAGATCACTAGGAGCCGCAACGGCGCTCAAGAGCTGTTGATTTGTTGAAGGGTTCATACTATTCAAGAGAATGAAGAAAACCACAAAAAAATGGATGTTGAAATTGTGAGCACCTTCGAGAAACGCGGTTTTTCGCCGAACCCATCTTTTTGTCCAAAGGGAGTTGCAGTCTCATTTAGAGTTAAGAGGTGCGGTACCTCTCGATTGGACAAGAAAGGTGGTACTTAAAGACACTGCCGTTCAGCAACCTAAATGTAGATGATCAAAGACTGAGGAATCGACTCGGGGTGGTTAGCGGTACTACTATGCATAGTAGTACCAAACCAAACAAACAAGAGGATATATTTCAAAACCGTTTTGCTTGGCAACTGTAAAAACTTGATCCCGTCGACCCAGGAACGACTCCCATAAGTCAGCATCAAGGCAGGATCGTGGGAGTGCATTGTAAGGCTTAGACGCGGGGATTGATTCACGGCTGCTGTTCATTGCTCCCACACTAGCTAGACGTCCTTGCGTCCCTATTTCACTGTAAGAGTTAGTGCGGGGAGGTCACGGGATACGGGATGCCGCTGCCCGGATACCGTACTGGATACTATAGACTCGCTATAGAGTACTCCTGACCTGGCTAGTTGCTATCATTCTGCCTCCTGTTACCTTCATTCTCTTAGTGTCAAAAGAAGCCATAATACGCTGCAGGGCTGCAGTCGGTGCTACCGGTACCGTCCCGTAGGCCGTGGGGATTGCTGGAGCAAGCAAGAGGTGCAGCATACAGCAGCATGCAGGCGTACCAGGCACTACTCGGTACCAATATCGTACCGGTAAGGGGGAGAACGGTTGAAGTGTTGAGGTGCAAAGGGAAGACAAACGTCGTGTCCACAGGTTCAGTACAGTCGTACCGTCGTACGTCGTACAGTCGTACCCCCTCGAACTTCCTCGAAGTGCCAGACAGCCAGTTAGCGGAAGCCATATCTTTGGTGTACCCGACCCTCGGAGTAATTCCGCGTTATTGTGAAAGAGTTACAATGCGCCCCCATTCCTGTCTGGCTGTCTGGGATCACTCTTGTCCAATACCGTACCGCATGGTTTTTTCGCTATGATGTGCCATCACGTGGGCTACCGGTACCGTACACCGTCAAGTCTACCCTTTACAACTTGAATGCATTCTTTGTTTGTTTTGCAAGAACCCAGAAGAAAGGGTTGCTTGATCGATGAATGCTACAATCTTGCAGCTTGCAGCCAGGTGATGTTGAGCTGCAAGCTGTGATCTTGCAGGCCAAGACCCAATTGCAGAGTCTACACAGAGAAACTTCAATACTCTGCACTGTGTGTTGTGATCTACGCCCTTGCGCCAAGTGGTGACCCAGTGCAAGTTACGCTATATTTCGCTTTCAACCTTCAACCCCCCTCATTGTTTAGTCTTCGGCGGTAGCTAACTGTGTTTGACCTTTGACCCCAGCGAGACAACCTCCTCCCATGACAAAGATCCATGTACCAGCAGTGCAAAGCAAGGTACCAGCAGTGCAAAGCAAGATACCAGCAGTGGCTGCTGCACGGATCATGTTGGAAAGGCAATCAAAGCATCGTCTCTTGCTCGTTGTTTCTCCGCCACCCCTGGATCGTTGAGCCTTATTCCTCGGCGAAGCTTCACCTATACGATCTAGACCATGAATGAATGACTGAAGCTGCAACCAGGTGCTGCTAATGCTTGTAGGGGTGATATCCACAGATGGAATTGGTGAAGTATCGTTGTTCAATAATCCAATTTAAGGAAAAGTAGGCAGGCATCCTGTGGCAATGCAATCCAATCAGCACTGCTGTCATATCAAGACCTTCGGGGCGGGACATGACACTGCAGCCTTTGCCTTAGCTAGTAGGGAGCCACTCGAAATCCTGAAACGATCCAGAGAATCGCCGAACAGCTCGCCGAACTAATCAACCACTCGGCTCTGCAACGAAATCTAAGGACCCTGGCAACTCAATCCAACATTTTCCTGGGGACCACAATGGCCCAAGCACTGATGATTCGCATGGGTGGAGCTACCACAGAGTCAAAACCTGTGTTTTAGGGATTCAGCAGTTTGTGAATGAACTACCTTATTTGGTCAGTCACTTTTTGCTAAACTCGTACAATTAAAATCTCACGATCAGAAAGCTAAATTGGTTTTTAACTTGTAGCTACTTCTTTTGAGAAACCCAAAGAAACAGATCCTTCCTGTTTCTACTAATACTATGGAAGAGAAGCTTCCTCCGTGGGCTCGTCTTCATTGATCGTCGATCGATGCGATGCCGAGTACCAATTGTTGCTGCTGCTGCTGCTGCCTGGATTTGCAATGAGATTCAAAAGACGTGCGGATGTACTAATGTTTTTCCCCGACTCGTCACTGCTGTTGCTCTGATTGTCATTACTGCTGTTACTGATGTCTTGTTGTTTTTGAAATTTGTAAAACAAGTACTTGTCCTTGAACACGTGTCCCTCCGTTACATGGCGGAACAATCCCAAGTACTTCATGAAATTGCGTCCCAATTCGACGGCTTCTGTGCGGGACGATGCCAAGCCCGCTTGCAGCATTCGATCCACAGCTTCGGACCCGATAAAACACCGTTTGAATGTTTTCAAGTGATATCGACGATCTTGAATATCGACCACTTTTAAAAAGATGCGTGCCTTTTGGGTTAATTCCTTCAATTTGGATTCCACCATGCTCTCGTCAAACGGCAAATAATCCAAAACAGGTTCTGCCGAAGACGAAAAACTCGACGAGACGGCATCGGGAACTTTTTGACGCAGATCACGGGTGGATCCACTGGCGACACTTTGTTGTCGAACCGGTCGAGCAGGCGCCGAATCGGTGGATGCTCGTAGGGATTCTTCCGTGACGGGTGCCAAGTGCACTTGACTTTGTCGTCGTTGCGGCATACCGGGTCGAGTGTCGGCCAACAGTTCTTGTTCTTGAGGGGTCAGCATCAACACACCGCTTTGGCGTCGTTGTGGCATGGTGGCTGGATTGTCGGGTGGAAGACTGGATTCCATAAAGGGATCAAACTCGCCGCTCATGTCGTAATCGGTGGTGCTACTGGCATCGTCAAAGGTAATACTCGAGGCAATACTGCGGGTAGATGCCACTCGGCTTCCGCGTCTGCCAATAATCTCTCTGGGTGGCACGGGAGGTCCCGAGTATAGTCGTCGTGCTTCACTCATCATCATAGGTACGGTACGTTTGGTTGGTAGATTGCTTGGATAATGAAATCAATTAATTGTGAGAATTGATAAAACTCAGAGGATTGAGCAAGATGTAGACAGTGCAGGGTCCGCCTTGGAAAGGGCTTTGCTCTTTTTCTGTGTTTCAAACGACACCCTGATGGAGACCGAGAATGTTGCAGAGAGTGTTGCCTGAGCAGCAACAAGAATCAACTGACGCTTGGCTTCTGGGCTCTACTTCTTGATGCGGATGCTGCTGTTGTGATGAGATAAAGCAGAACCTTGCTGCAGTGAAATGCAGCATTCTTGTAAATTCAACGAGCGCCTGGCATCAATTGCCTTAATTGAAGCCTTTCCATGTTCCTGTTAGATGTTCAAGAAAAGGAACCTTGTCAGTAAATCTCTAGCTACAACGAGCAACGTCATTATCTCTCAAAGTGCACGTCAGTACGGCTGCAATGACTCTCCACAGGCATATGGAGTAATACCCTGCATTTAAGATACAAAAGATAAATGACTGGACTACTGAATTATAAATAGACATCAAATTTTTCAAAGCGCAACACCTGTCCTGATGAACGTGGTAAGACTGTAGCGGTACCGGTACCTCGCCACAATGGTATAATCTTAAAAACAGGAGTAAAGCTGTTTCGTTTTGGTTAACTCGTGAACAAGCTGGGAATCTCATGGATCAATTTTTGTTTGTGGGATTCAAAGGTTGGTGTGTTTCATCATCTTCCAATGCAGAACAATTGTTTCCTTCGGCTCCCTTGGTGTTGAAGGCAAAACTCGGGGAAAGGGAATACTTCCGGGGATTGATTCCATCAATCCATAGTTTCTAAAAAAGAATTCCCTCAATATTTTTGGGGAAATGTTGATAGAATTCCGGGAAGTGAGGAATTCCTATCCTTGGAAGTGAGGAACCACGGGTTTCGCCAGTCTGCTCGTCGCTGATGAGCTTCGACCTGGCAGCTGGGACTTGGGAATATGAAGAACACGGAACAGTGAAGCAGGAAGCAATTGAGATGCTTTCTTGAGAGAGTTCGTTTGTTGTTTGTGAGCCAAAAGAATGATCAATCGAATAGTTAGTTCATCATCAGAGCATCGCGGACTACCGGTATGCATTCTTTTATTTGAGTGCTGTTCAATCAAGAAGCCAAGAGTACTGGGCCCTGGCCTAAGCAACTATTTTTTTCTGGTTGGTTCGTTGGTTCCTTCCTCCTTTCGATACATCCCGTTCTTACTACTTGTTCATGTTCAATGCAGCTATTGAGCTACAGTACGAGTGCCCTTGACCCTGGGCGTGTTTGGCTGGCTCTTTGCTACTTTGCCTGAGCAGCAAGACTTACTTCGCCCTCTTGCTTCTGCAAGGTACCTCCTCTCGTCGCCGTTGAGCGAAAAGAGGTTGGCTGCGGAAGCAAAAGATTCACCAACCAATTCACCAACCAGTGAGGATTGTAAAAAGAAGTTTTGGCGTTTTGGCAGTTGTTGATTAGTCTTCTGCAGCTATTGGCCCGTTCTAGTTTTCTAGCAGTGCTTTGGAAGAGCGGTCATTGTTGGGCATATAGTGCGTACTAGAGCTTTAGCTGCCCAGAGCTTGCTTGGTTTGCTTCTGGGTAAGCAAACTAACTAGATACGACTGTGTTTCAACATCTTCTCGGGGGATCCTAAAATTTAATGTTCAATGGGAATGATGGCAAAAAGAAGTGCGGCACCAGGAACCTAAGCTGAGCATGAGGTAGCCACACCAGGAACCAAAGAGGCAGACGAGCAAGGCAGACGATGCCAAAGCAATCAATGTACTTTCAAAAAGGCTATGAAATGAATGAGTCATGTAAGTTGTACTGGGTGCTGCATGGGGAGTGAACAGTGCTGATGCCGAGACATCATCTCGAGACGCCCCTTCCAGCCCAGCCCAGGCAGGCAAGGAGAAGCGAGGTGCTTTCGGACTCGACAAGATTCGATTCTTGCAGTTGAAAGTTGAAAGTGCAGCAAGGGGTCTGGAGTTGTTGCATGCATGGGGTTGGTGTGGGCGTTGGTTGGTCCAGGATGATCAGGTCGGGCAAAAGTGGAGACAGCCAATCTGCTTGGAAGAAGATTTACGACAGCTTAACCGTTTTAAAACCTAGTTTTAAGAAAATATCTTTCTTCCAATGTCCAAAGAGACAACGCGAATAGTGGAGAATTGACACCATGACACAACGCATCGAGCCATGGATGACGACAAGCAGCTGCTGTAGAAGCATCGCCAACCACCCAAACAAACACATACAACCTGCCATTCCACATCTTTATCTCCTACCTAATAGCAGTAGCTATCTTATCGAGGTAACAGCTAGCCATAAGGATATCTTTTATTGACCAGAGCGGAAGAGGTATATCCCCATTGCACCTTCCGCGAACTTCCACAATCCGCAGCTTTCTACCGATCTGTTCCTCCTCTACCAGTATCAGTACTGTAGTTAGTCCAGTACCAGTACTGTAGTTAGAATGGGTTGTGCATCCTCCTCCGAAGCCAAGGCCGTGGCGAATGATGATCAAAAGGAGAATAAAAAGCCGACCATATCTTCGAATCAAAATAATAGCAACGAAAAACCAGCTACCACAACTACAGATAGTAGTACCACCAAACCACCCAATAATGGAGACGGCAACGGGACCACTTCTCAAGATACGACAGCGCCAAAGGGCTGTAATACAAATAGCGAGAGCAGCCAAGAAATCGTCTGTGGATCTCTGGGACCTGTTCGGTATGCCTGTTGGAGCAAACGCGGCAAGGATCCCGACGATGCCAGCAAACCCAATCAAGATTCCTTTGCGGTCACCGAAAAATTCGCCAATGATGCCACGGATTTCTTTTGGGGTGTCTACGACGGTCATGGCAAGACAGGTGCCGACTGCTCGGCATTTGTACGCGACAATTTGCCTCCTCTACTCGTCAGTGCCTTGGGAGAACACTTTGATTTGATGCTCAGTACCGAACAAATTCACGCCTCGTTACAAAAGGCACATGTACAATGCAATCAACAACTGCACGATAACCCAAGCATTGACGACTCGTATTCGGGCACGACGTCCATTAGTGTCTTTTTGCAAGGCTCGCTCCAACGAATCACCATTGCCAACGTCGGAGACAGTCGCGCCATTTTGGGAACCACACTACCCGATGGCAAACTCATGGCGCTTCCCCTGTCCAAAGATCAAACTCCCCGTCGACCGGAAGAAGCCCAACGAGTGAAACAGCATGGGGCGCGCATCTTGTCGTTTGGAGAAATCAATGGCGACGGCGACAATAATTGCGACGACGAGGACGAAGATCCACCCCGTGTGTGGGCGCAAAATGGCAAATATCCCGGAACGGCATTCACTCGATCGTTGGGAGACGCCATTGCCGAACGGTTGGGAGTCGATGCCAATCCGGAATGCATGTCGTTGAAACTGTCGGACAATGAAAAATTCATTTGCTTGGCCACGGATGGGATCTTTGATGTCATGTCCAATCAAGAAGTGGTGGATTATTGTATGAAGCACCGAACGGATCCCTTGGAGGCTTGTAAAGCGATTGTCAATAAAAGTCACGAAGAATGGTTGCACAATGAAGAATGCGAACACGATGAAGATCCACGAGCGAGTTATGATGACATGACGTTGATTTGTATCTTTCTCAACAATGTGTGGCAAGTTGGTGACAAGGACAAAGCAGCAGATGCACCACAAACGGAGGAAGTAGCACCCCACGAACGAAGAAGGCGTGTACGGCAAAAGACGCTGCGGAATCTGGAAGAAATGGAGTAGTAGGAATTTTTGTCTTCCATCATGATGTGTACTGTAGCAATAAGCAAATGCTAACTACCGTTCGAATGGCCAAGTTATTAGGTGCTCTTGGTGGATTTCGCTAGGAGCGAGCAGCCAGCAGGACATTCCTCATGTTTACCACGGAAAACTCGAACGCAGTGGAGAAAACAATCCGACTCTTACTCCGGAGCAAACCTTCGAGTCCTTGGCATTGTTCCGTCCCTTTTGCCGGCGGCTTCACCGGAGCTTCTGCGGCATTGCTGCCGGTACGCATCTTCAACGAACAAATCCACCTTTTTAACCCTAGCTACGTAGCCAACCCCACGGTACCATCTCAATGCTGCAGGCAGCAAAGAAAAACATTGTATCTAGCGCATCATGGCTGGTCCTTGAGTGCTGCTTGCAAGCACACTGCTCAGAGTCTAGGTTTGACTTCTAATTCTTTCCTTTTGCCTGCTAGCGAGCTTCGAGCTTGCAATACCATCAGCTTCAGGAAGTTTGATACTAGCTACTGGTAGCGCCTTCCTATGATATCATCATCCATTCCAAATGCAACAATATATTCCTGTAGAGCAAACCTCAAGCCAGAACGGCGTGTCGGAAGGAAGTTTGATCCAGTCGTGAGAGAAACCATGATTGATCAATCCCACTGGCATCAGATTTCGGTGAGAATGAAGAAGATGGCGTGAGGAACAACCGGAACCTCGGTTGTCACCATAGAATGGGTTGCAGAGAGACTACAAGAAGGGCAACTCGCTTGAAAGAACTAGATTGTGGCTGAACCAAGAAGCAAACCATGGAATATCTTCGTGTGACGCCCCGAGATGGAGAAACCTTTGAGGAGTTGACCAAGCGGTTGAAGCTTACAGACATGTTCCGTGGATCTGGTTACTACAAGGTAACCCGATCGGAAAAGATCTCGGCCAACAAGGATATGGTTCTGTCTCTTGACGACAAGACGAGATGGATTGCTGGGCCAGATGCCGTGCGGTCCGAGCTCAAAGTGAACAAGGGAGTGGCTGTTACCCTCAAACCAAGCGGATTACCCTCTGGGTGTGAGCTCTTTGTGCAGTCCACAAGTTGGAACCGAAAGTTACGAGATGGGCATGATGTGCTGTTTCGCAAATTGAGCGGAGGCTCTGGTTCCGGGGTGAAGGTTACCATGCATCCAGAAAAAGTTGCCAAGAAAATCGCACCTGCCATCAAAGAGAGCACCAGCCCCAACAAGCATAAAGTAAAAGATGATGGCAACGTTGGAAGACGCAAGAGTCCCCGCAAACGGGCCAAGGTTAAAAATAACGATGAGAGCGATGGCGGGGATTATCCAGCTCCCGTTCCTAGTAGTGGTGGTGATCCAGGTGGTGATGGTATTGTGGTTTGGAGTAAGCTATTTTTTGACTTGAAGGAAGATGTCGATTGTCTGGATGAAAGCGATTTGGTGGTGGGAGCTGCAGCATCCCACGTACCCGGAGACTGTGACAAGCCAGTACCCAACAACTTACTGGAACAAGCCATTTCCAAAGTCGTGGAGGGCGCCATCCGGGGCGTGATTGATTGGAGATTGGTGGAAGAAACAATTGTGGTCCAACCCAGCAACAACCAGTGGGGTGGAGACAACACATGGCGCCGTCATCAATGGACAAGTGCAGGAACGCGCCTACTCTATGTGGAAAGCCCCTCTACCAACTTTATTGCTCTCGAAATGAGAGGCAACGAAAACTATGGGTTGGTCTGTGGCAACTGTCAAAGCCATCCATTTTGCCATTCACCCCATTTCATGTACGCAAACTCTGATGGGTCTTCCCGAGATATCCCCTTGCGTGGTTTGATTAATCCGGGTGTGGTCTTGGCCAAACTCATTCATGATGTTGTCCTGCACTGCCAGGATTCGGAGCATTAGCAAGTGAGGTGGCCAATAGTAGATTGACTTTTGTGAGCCGAACCACCCGTGGCTTGATTGTTTGACTGAATGTAAGCAAACCTGTAGCACCAAAATAAAGCCCAAACTAATACTGTCATAGCTACATTACGTACGACCAGATTACTCGCCGTCATTGCTGAGATTTCCTGCAGGTTGTAGAATCGCTGTGCATCCATCTCGTGACGACATGATTCGTTGAAGTTGCTGAACTGCTGGCATGGTTTCGTCTTGTGTTGCGCTGCTCCCCAACATGTACTGAATGTCCTGCAGTGATGATTCGGTTGGTGGGAAGATCACTATTGCCTCTCTTCCTCCCTGTGTTGGCATTGTCAGAAAGTAAGATCCGGTGGCAATCGACAATGACACCTCCCTGCCCTGTTGGGATGGTAGCTTCGTAGCTATTGGCGAGGAACGTGGTATCAACGCATCCAGCGAGTGAAAACACAGTTTTGATAAGGCATCCTTATCCTTCCGATTGACATGTTCTCCTGCGTTATTGTGCTTGTCGTATCGGTAAACCTTTCCTTTGATTCGGCACTGCAGCAGACTGGCTTGGCCTTTCCGATGCCGCTCTGGTATACAAGTCACCAGGATCTGGCCTTGGTCGCGTTGGATGGATTTGAACATGCCATACAGCGATGTCATTGTTTGAGTATGAAGCGACCAGCACATGTTGCTGGCTAAAAGTCGTTGATAGATGGAAACGAATCCTTGCATAATGTCATTCACCATTCCAACTCTGCCGAGAAGGGTTAGGCCAATGATCCCCAGCGTCCTCGAAGATTCCAAAACAAGCAATGGCATGTTTGATGTGGTGCCTTCTGCCGCGTTTGTTTGTCGGCACTGTGCCAAGATTCGCTCGGGATCGGTGCACACATCGAGAACTCGTTGCACCAACCGCACATGCTCCTGCACTTGGGCGGTCGATTCATTTTCCACAGAGCCTTGTTGGCCTGCAAAGGAAATGAAACGAAGTACCGAGGTGCCAATTATGGCAAGGCTTTCCATGGTTTGCTCGGCAACATGCTGTCGCCCGCTGGGATAGCAACTATCAACTTGGGACAAGAACCACGTACAGAGCCGCTGCTGGATACTCGACGTCCCAGTCTCCGGACAAATGCTCTTGAGAAACACAAGTGAGGGATCTTCTCTCACGGCAGCTTCCAGGAGCGACAGCGCAATGATTGAGCGTTTGGCAAGGCTTGAACTAGGCACTTTTCTTCGCTTCTTCTTCTTCTTCTTGGCGCAAATGTTTAAGCAGAAGTGTTCCAGGTCGGCCTTTGCGTTGGGGATGACGGAGAAGGGGACACGGGCCATCACGGTGGCAATGACACGAATATCTTCCACCGAGAATGGATGCCAGCTTGGATTGCCGTTGCCATCCTCTGTGCGGGCAATTTGCTTGCCATCACGACGCCTCTTCCGGCTGCGAAACAGAGGCTTGGAGCCATATTCTGCACAGACTAATCGCTGCAACCCAAGGGGTAGTTCTCCTCCATTTGGGTCTGCCACTAGCATCTTCCGAATCAATGCTGCAATCGTTGACTTATGGGACGTTCGGTGGTCGAACAGTGCTTTCGTTAGGAGTGTCATCAAGGGAGTGCCATTGTGATTGGAACCGAGTCTGGTGACATGCGTCTGTACCAGAAAAAGGACACATTCTCGGGTCAACGGGTGGTGTTGTTGTTGCGAGGCCATTGGCATGAGCCATCTCAACAGCAAGCAATGTAAAGCATTGGCGGTCATGCATGGTGCTGTCGTTTCGCAAGCATAGACGTATTGACTGATGGACCTTAGCGTTGTTTCCAAGAGTTTGGTTGGGACACAGTCCTCTGTCTTGTTCTTTTTGTTCTTTTTGAGACGGGCTGTAGTGAGAAAAGTGTGGCACATCGGAAGACTGCCAAAGACCAGATTCTCGCACACGGCAAGCAAACTGTTGACATGAGCCTCTTCGGTCCACAAAAGTGGCAGGCTGCCATCAGACGGTGTTGTAGCAGAGTTCAGACATTGCTGGAGCACCTCTTGAAGAATGTGCCATTTGCCAATGTCAAATGAGGATTGTAGCAAACTGCTAGATTGCGTTGTTGTTGTTGACTGTCCAAGCACTCCCCGCGTCAATTGTCTCATATTGCAGAGTTGATGCAAGCTGACGGCTTTGGGGACCACAGGTGCGCCTTTTTCTTCTTCTGTCAAAAGGACCGACAAAAGGCACTTTTCGGCTTTGGAGGATACTTTTTGTACCGTTTGGAGGAGCGCGGCTTGATCTGGCTGAGTAGCCGCGACGTACACGGCCAGCCCACAGAACGACACTAAGAGCGACAAGATGTCATCCGGGATTTTTTCGCCCTCTTGGTTTGCATGCAGCTTGAGAAATCGGGATAGCTTGGTGAGGAAGAAAGAACTGATTTTGACTTGATGTGGTTGCAGCAACGCAGATTGTTTCGATAATGCCAGAACTCCCACGGCCTGCCACAAGAAATCCTTCAAATATCCACCCAGGGCATCTATAGCATCCTGTAGCAATTCCACAGGCAGAGATGATGAAGTCGTCATCGCCAATGCCGTGAAAATGGCATCCACAGATTTCCACAAGGCCGGCAAGAGATCTAGTCGGTGCTGGACCATGACCGATTTGATTCGTAGACAAAATGCCAACACAAAGCACGCCACTTGTGGTCCATGATACGTCTGTGAGACCGGTCCATTGTACAAACAATCCTCTCGCCTGTCATCATCGATGGATTGTTGTTGTTCTTTTTCAGCTGCCGTCCAATATTGCAGACTCTTTTCGACATTGGTCACCAGCGCTTTCATCAAGTTCAAAAGGAGTGGATTGGTTTGTTGTGGTGATAGCTTGTTTTTATCAGTCACCAACAAGAGCTGGAGAAAACGAACAATAGTGCCGAGCCGTGTCATATACCACAACGACGACTTTTGTTTCTCTTCTTGTTCAATATTATTAGTATTTCCACCACCACAGCACCCTGCTAGATAGTCTGGATGATCCATCAAAATTTGGCAGGATTCTTGGAGGACAGAAAAGTCCAACGACGGATTGGACCCTTCTTGCAAAACCTTGGAGACTTCAGGACAAGGAAACTGTTTGGATCGAAGGCATGCCTTGACAGAGTCCTTTTCCAATTCTTCGTAGTCTCGTTGGAGCATGGACAATAGGCGCATGGAATTTTGAGATGCAATGGCATTCTCGTTGGAAGATCCCCCAATGGCTTCTGATGATGACGCACTGTCGTCATGCAGTGGTCCCTGAGAAGACTTTTTGTCTTGTGGGTGTGAAGTTTCGGTCGCCTCCTGGATGGTCTCGGGTTGCTGTTGTTGATTGGTTGACTTTCTTTTATTGGAGGCATACGGATTGGAGTGCAATGGGCGAGCGTCCCTTGGCGTGAATGGCTCAATGCTATTGTCCCTCATGGTGATGTCAAATAATCTCTCGAAGACAACAAACAACAAGAAACAAGAAGAGCACACAGTGAAGAGGGAGGAAACAGAGTGAACAGGCAATCAATGAGCGTTTCTGCAAAGCCGGTGTTAGGGTTAAGGTGTCATTGGCGTATGTTTATTGTTCCGTCTCCATAGAGACGACGCTCCTTTTGGTTACCCCCTCAGTGGCACTCTGGAATCGATTTGCCGGCGTTTACTGTGTAAAATAGAGTACCCGCACTTCAGTTGCAGAATCAACGGTCATGTGTATCGTTAAGTAACAGGTTCTCTTCGAAAGATTTAGATCGATTCGTGGATAAAAAGAACCGTTGAAGTTACTAAGGTTAAGGTCGATCGATTCGATTCGATTGGGTATCTGTTATCAAGAGTGTTTTAATCAAGGGGGGTTTTAGAGTAGGGAAATTATCTACGGAAGCCAGCCGGGGCCAGGCTTAAGCAAAGAACAGTCGAAATTCAGGACTAGGTTCTGTGGGATCAGGGGCAAGAAATTGAGGACCATTACGGGGGGCAAAGGGTTTGGCTTTGCGGGATCCACGGAGACATAAATGGGTAGCTTTCACAAGGGCAATTGAGATACGGGTCTGCATGAAGAACATCATTTGAGAGTAGGAAAATTGAGTTTTGGAGGCAGTAGCAGAAGCAAGGCGTTGTAAGAGAGTCTTGGCTTGAGGGGCAAGCATGCCATCCACTGAAACAACAAAGGGGTGGAAGGAAGCGCGATTGGACTCGCACGCATCTTTATATTTGGAAATTTTGTCGCGTTCTTGTTGGGTTAAAACTTTGACGGGATCTTTGTTGCGGTAAGAGGCACAGTCCAAATCAGTGACACGTACGTCAATAATAGCTGTAGTACCTCGTTCAAACAAGCCGCGAATGGAAAGATCACCACGTAAGAGCTCGGGGGCTGGAGGGGGATTGAGAGGGGGGGAGGAAGGGGAGGTAAGGTAGAAATTGGGTGACCGGCAGGGATAGTAGGGGCGGGAACAGATGGAAGGGGTGGTTCGGATTGGACGCTAGAGGAACCAAAGCATTCACATGCAATAGAACCAAGTTCATTGCGGATTTCATTATGGCGACGGATGATTAAGCCACCGCGTTTGCAATCCAGAGCATGTGGAACGCTGAAGGGACCAGTACAGCCATCACAAAGAGCTGGAAGAGCTGGGGGGGTAAGACCGAACCGGAGAAAGAGAGCATCACGCCATTCTTGAGCAGAGAGGTGAGTGCGTTTGGCAATATCGGGCATGACTGCAAGCCAGGAGCCAGTGCAACGACTGCGATTGAGGCGGGACTGCTTTAATTAATTGAAGGTACAGCGCTGACTTCTCTCCCTCATTGAATTTCTATGGTAAACAGGAGAGAATTCCAAGCTCGGCCGTCAACGATCGATCGATGGCTACTACTACTATTACGGGTAAGTCTATTATCAAGTGTGTTATTATTGAAGGTGCAGCACTGATTCTCTCCCTCATTGTATTCCTATGGTAAACAGGAGGTAAATCCAAGCTTGGCCGACAACAGTGGTATCTACCGGTAAGAGGAGTTCTTTATTCAAGCCGATCGATCGATCGAACGATTCGACGCGAGGTAAGCCTATTATCAAGAGTGTTTGTTGAAGGTGTAGATTCGAAAGCCATCCCTCATTCAGTTGTATGGACCATGGGCAGGCAGTCAGTTCTCGGCCATCAACAGGTGAGTTGTTTTAATTATTCGAATCGAATCGATTGGTCGCACCTCTGTTATCCAAGCCTCACTCAAGCCGTTCGTCTCCGGTGTAGATTGGAAAACCATCCCTCATTGAATCCTATGGACCATGGGATGGCAGTCAGTTCTCGGCCCATGACGGCCAAGTTGGTGCAATTTGAAAAACAATGGTAAGTCTCCGGTCGTCTGCAGTTGAGCACAGAAAACAAAACTCATATCTATTTGTTGTTTTCTCTGCTGTACTGCTGACGGCCGATGAATTACCATTGTCGCGGTCCAACGAACGATTGTTCGCTCCGAATAACACGAGGAAGAAGAGGCTACCGCTACGGATGTATGTGTACGGAGGAAACTGTTAACTCCAGCCCTACCAACAGCATGAACGGATCGTCGTCGACTCATTGAAAGTGAACAGGAGCAAGGCTAGATACTCGACAACACACAAGAGAGTGGATCCTCCTACCGGATTCATCCCTTCTTGTTATTTCCTACTGTTTTGGTGGTGATTCCTGTCTTGGTACCCATTTTCCTGTATGCGCAAATCAAGTACTGTTGCCACTAGCTATACGGCAGCTGGCTACAATGGCTGGATTGACAATATTCCGTTGTGCGTGTATTCGCCATAAGGATCCAATGCGAGGTAACCGAGTGCAGCGAGCAAAGTCGAACCTGCGTGTGTTCGGTACTGTTGCCACTGTCACTGATCGATGAACTCTACGATAGCTGGCTACGATGGCTGGATTGACAATGTTCGGTTGTGCATGTATTCGTCATAAGGATCCAATGCAAGGGTACCGTAACGGAGTGTAGCTCATAAAGCGACCTGTGTGTTCGATACTGTTGCCAATGTCACGTATCGATGTATACTCTACGGTAAACTGCTACAATCGGCTGGATTGACAATATTCGGTTGTGCACGTATTCGTCATAAGGATCAAATGCGAGGTACTTGTACCGGAGTGTAGTGAGCAAGGCCGAATCTGAGTGTGTTTCGTACTGTTGCCACTGTCGTCGATGTAGCTATACCGCTGCCGGCTACAATGCCTGGATTCATAATGTTCGGTTGTGCATTTTTTCGTCATAAGGATCCAAGCAAGTATTATCAGGCAACGGAGTGGCAAGCCAGCAAGAGCCGAGAACCTAGTGTGTCGGTACTGTTGACGACTGTCGACCGGATGTAACTGGTACGGCTATGGCAGCTGGCTAAAATGGCTTGATTAACAATATTCCGTTTTGTGCATGTATTCGTCATAAAGAACCAATGCGAGGTAAACAACTGCAGCGAGCAAACGTTGGAACCTGAGTGTGTTCGGTATTGTTGCCACTGTCACCTATTGATTTTTATTTTTTTTTTTATATATTAATTTTTATTTATTTTTATTTTTCCAAAAATAAAATTTTTTTTATTATTATAAAATAATTTTTTTTTAAATTTTTATTTATCCAATGAAACTCTACGAAGCTAGTCTATGATGGCTGGATTTGAAAACAATGTTCGGTCTGTGCAATTTTCGTCATAAGGTTCCAAAGCAAGGTACCGGCAATGGAGTGTAGCCAGCAAAAGGGAATCCTGAGTGTGTTCGGTACTGTTGACACTGTCAACGCCGATGTAACTCTGACGTACCTGCTACAATGGCTGATTAACATATTCGGTTTGTGCATGTATTCGCATAATAGGGATCCAATGCGAGTTAACGAGTGCAGCGAGCAAAAGTCGAACCTGGTGTGTTCGGTACTGTTGCCAATGTCACCGATCGATTGATGAACTCTACGGTAGTGCTACGTGGCTGGATTGACAATAGTTTCGGTCTGTGCATGATTCGTCATAAGGATCAAGCAAGGTACACGGTAACGGGTGTGTAGCCAGTAAAGCGCAACCTGAAGTGTGTGTCTCGTTGCACTGCTCACGGATGCGATTTGTAACTCACGACGGTAACTGGCTACAATGCTGGATTGAGCAATTGATTCTCGGTTGTGCATGTATTCGTCATAAAGGATCCAAGTAGTGAGCAAACTGAGGAAACAGGAGACGAACGCTGAAAAAAAGCCGAATTTATTTGGAGCTCATTTTTCCTTCGATTCCCAGAACTCGAACGTGGAGATGCATTCCTCGAATGCTGGATCTCTGGAGCTTTTAAAATTCGTACGGAGCGGTGTGGTGCAGTATGGTACGGTGCGCACGTACAAAAATCGTCAACCAAAATTCTCTGCAAAATACTAAAAGACTGTCCACTGATAATTCTGAAGTAATATTAATACAACACTAAAAGTGTTCGGGGAAGTGTTCAGGAGAAGTGTCGGGAGCAGTGTTTGAGAGAAGTGAAACAAATTTGCAGAGGAATGCGATTCTCAGCTTGCCTTTTGATTGTTATCTTAACAGCGTGTAGTAGAGGTGCGATCCTCATTTATCTTGTGACCAAGGCGGCGATGTTTTCTTTCGCTCACTGGTATGAAGGAACGATCGTAATACATGCCTCGATGGATACCGGTACTACAGACTAGCTAGTACTTCAGTAGGATCCCCTACAACATGTACGGGTCTCAGTATTTCTCGTACCGGTGCTGGTGCTAGCTAGTACTGTAGTACATGTATGTGTGCGGGTGTACAGTACCTACAGATGGGCACGTTTAGAAGACCAAAGGCACGCCTCGACATGATTTTCTTTGTCTCCTACCTTCCCACAAATTCGAAACCAATCATCTCCTCATCGAGAAAGTTGAAATCATCAACCACAAAACAAAATGAAGCTATACTTCGTAATTGACCAAACAAGTGGTGTTGTCCGTGCTGGAGAACAGCTTTCTGGAAGACTAATCATCAGCTCTACCCAGCCTGTGCGTGCAACTAACATTTCGCTATACTTCAGAGGCAAAGAAGACACTACAGTTCAGCACCTCGAACAAAGGAAGGTCGGTGATGATTATGAGACAAGGAGAGTAACATCCCACGAAAAACACCAATTCTTTCGAATGGACATGCCGGTCCCAGACCTTTCTTCCATTATTTGAATGGAAGAACAGTTCCAGGCCAACACGAAGTCCCCTTTCGAATACAGCTGCCTTGGAATCTACCTTCTACTATGCGGATTGAAGAAAATGGAGACAGCGCTACAATTGCATACTGTCTCAGAGCCCAACTCAATGGGTCGGGATTCTTGAAAGACTACCAAGCCACACAATCTGTACAGATTTTGGCAAAAGCCGAGCCAGCTGAGACATCCCCATACATCGTGCCGCCAACATCCACAACAATTAGATCCTTCGGGTCATGTTGAAAAGTAACATGCTCGGGAGTCGAACCCTCAGACCATGTCAGCTACCAAGTGTGAATTTTACCCTTCTAACACCCTCCCAGAATTCTCAGCTTGGGAGCGGCTGTTATCCTATGCACTCATACCATGGAGCTACACTTCA